ATCAGTCTCAATGAATAATTGATCGTAATAAATGTTTAGTTTCCATTTCCACACCTTTTTCTCAAGCACACAATCATGGTTTAGAAAATAATGGCACAAATTTATAACCGTCATACCGAACCCTAATAAACATGTTTTGTATTGTATTCATTTGCCAATTATTGATTAGAAGTCATTTCAGGAAAAGATTGAACGAAAATATAAGTACACGTCCTGGCGGAGTATGATGCACTGAGTGCTACATTGGGATGTCATCAAGAAATTGATACGTGCTCGTTAAACAGCACAAACATAATTTGAAAGTGGTGCAAATCCTAGAGGCGTCATGGCAGTCGAGGGCCATGTTTGATCGCGAAATTGAGAACGTATCAGACTCTTGACTCGAAATAAAAATGCAAATGGTGATTGATGGCGATGGTATCACTTGCTTATAAAACTGCCTCCTTGAGCGGATCGAATTTAGGAAGGATGATGCCGTGTTACTGTATATTTTGTAGTTATCTCTTCAAAACAAATGATATATACTGATTAAATAGCGCATCGTGGGTTTGTGAGTCACTGCCATAATATCTAATATAAATGTCTCGGTAGCTAGACTGTATTAATATACCAACACGTTTAGATGAATTTCCAAACAATTAAGTAGCCGTTTGATAGCTGAACGAACGACTCCTGCGTTGCTCCTATCATATTCAAACGTTTACTTATATATTTAACAATTTCATTAAAAGTAAGCTATATTTCATTAGAATGACTTGATCAAGCGTAGTACTAACTTAGCCCGTCGTCTTATTTATCTCAAGCACTGATAATGTAGACCCGCCAGCTGGAAATTTATCATCATTTTCGCTGCATTATGGCATTAAGTTCCAATGAAAGTTTTGATAAATTTTAGCTCTTGAGAGGAGGGGATTAGTGAGTTCAATTATGCGGATTAGCGGGGTTTCACGGCAGTAGAATATACCAGACATTATGTCGCCCTGTGCAGATCGACGCTTATTTTTGAGAGGACACCAAGAAAATGTAAGCGTTGGATTTATCGACACGAGTATACATATAACGATGTTTTTACGATTATTATTAAAGTGTTTGCACTTTTCAATATTTGGTAGTGCATATTTTAACATATGAAATATAGATTAATCGAAGAGTTTCACTCCATTTTTTATATATGTAGTATAAAGGAAAAAAGTAGAATATTATTTGATTTAAATAATTTTGTGCTAGGCAAATAAATTTTATTTGCCTAGCACAATCATTAAGTATTAACGGTGGCTTATTGTTTACAAAAAATGATGTTAATATATGGCAAAAACTATGACAATTCAGAATATTTTACAACTTATATTGTTGTTATTTCACATATACACAAATGTACACGAAGTTTGACGGTGATTTGGTGGTTTCCTTGTTGAATATAAATCTAAAATTCAAAGTAACTATAACTTGGTTCTATCAATGTTGATTAATTGTTATTAGAAAAATTACAAACATACTTGTATATATATATACGTTCTCCGTTATGATGTGTAAGTGTGAATAACCTATGATACCTTTGAATTGCATCAATATCTCTAATTGATTCTTATTTACTTGAACATTTTCATCTTTGTCATTTGTTTTATATTATTTCACAAAATTTTGAAGTATCCATAGAAATATCCATTCTATGTCTATAAATAAATAAATAAATAAATAAATAAATAAATAAATAAATAAATAAATAAAAATAGCCTACTGACCCTGTGGGTCTCCAGGTTGCAAGAATCTACATTAACAATGCGTAGTAAATGAACAAATTTACATTGTTATTCAGGCCCGGATTCAGTTTTACTAGCCTTTGACGCACGGTCAGTGATTAGCCTCGTGGACTAAATAAATTTTGAAAAGATTTCAAAAGTGGAAATGCAAAAATTAACGATAAAATAAATATTGACATGAAAACTATTTCGAACGGCTTTTGGTAGCTTTTTCGATACTCTTCCCTTTTACAACCAAGATTAGCTACACAATCAATTTAAACACTGAATACAAACGCTTTTCATATGGTATATGTGCTTTTCCATAAGGCGCCTCAGTGGTGTTCTTATTTTCTTATTTAATTCATTATAAGGCAATATGGTATAACGGTATATGAAGGAAACTCCCTTACTTTACCTTGTAAAAATTAAAATAAGTCTACACCAGACTCCAATGAAACACTCAATCGATGTTTTAAAATCACAAGAAAAGGTAATAAGTAAAACTTCTGGATATATTTCATGTAATCAAGAAATTGAGAAAATGGCTTCAAAGAAAATAAAAAAGTATTAAAACAAAAACAACAACTTTTGCGTACAGCTGTCATCGCTGTCTGTTGGTCATAAATCAATAGAACAAAATACTAGAATTCTTTATACACGTGTATATTTCAGGAAGCATTCGGATGTGATCGCGAGACCAGCCGGTCTCTCTACCGCAATTAGCACAATTTGCTTAGCAACACAGCCGGAGAAGTTTAGGTCAAATGTACCCTCTACCAGGGCCACAGATTGGTTTCCCCACATATTAACAGATATGTCTCTGGTTAAATAGATGGCTTATCTCTTTACTGTGTGCTCGCCTCAGCAAAAATGTTCACAATAATAACTGCGGCCCTGGTAGAGGGTAGGTCAAATGTGAGTTAAACGGTTCAATGCATGCAAAATAATTTACAGAGAGAACTAATGACCCTGATCATAGATAGACTTTACTACATACTAGAACCAAAGCAAACTGGCAAATACTCGCTAAGGGCATCTGAAACTTTTAAAAGACGAAAAGTAAAAATTCAAACGATCAATGGGTGACAATTTAATGAGTGCATAAAACATGCAAGTTTCATAGCTGACAGGCAAAGCAATATTCTTTTCTTATCATTTAGTAATTTTATCTATCTGTGCCATTATGTCAACATATTTATCCATCTCTTCTTTGGTTGTCAGGTTATTTTAATAATAATAATAAAAAGAATAATAATATGAATAATAATAACAATAGTGGTAATAGTTGTGGATCTGTTTCTGTTCTTGGTTGGTGTAGCTGTGAGCGGTTCAGTAAAAAAGAACAGCTTAGTTATAGACAGCAACGCTACCACTTGCCCTCTATATTGCGTCCCCTTTATATCATGAAGACGCATCGTTAGGTTTCGTCGTGTATCAGTCTGTTCTTAAAGAGTTCAGTATACACTTGGACATAATAACGTTATTATGTCCAAGGTATACATCAAGGTCTGCACATATAATATAGGCCTACATACATTGCAAATAAATAAAAGAAACAGGTACTCTAGGTACATGTATACGTGCCATAACCATGTTGTAAAACGGAAAATAGATAAGTATAAAAATTGGGTATATTTCAGGTATATAGCATTAGCAATCGTGTGTTGGGTAACGATAGTGACAGTAGTGACAAGGACAGTGCAGGTGATAAGGTATATAATATATGTATTTGCAGGAACTGACGGTGAGTTTATATGAAAAACATTCATACAATGGCGACGACATATTATATGATATTTCATTATTAAGGGATTCATTTTCATTACCTGCCCAAGTGAGCAGGCAGACAAATTACAAATCGTTGTCACGAGGGCTTTAGTTATCGAGAATTACAAAGGTATTCTTAAGCAAACACAAGCTTTTTATCAGCCCTGATAGTACTTTGGAGGGAGGAGACATTCCCTATTGTAAACAAGGATGCGCATGCCTCTTGTATCACACTAGTCAGCTATCACACTAGTCAGCTATCACCATATCGTTTGAAGTTGTCCTAATGGCCGATAAAATTCATATTATATATCATCAAATTTGAGCAATGGTTTTTATAATTCCATAATCTCCCTTTTAGTGACCACATGCCGATCTATCCTCCGATAACAGGGGTTTCCAAAAAAGTATACACAATTATAGTATATAATACCCCGAGTGTCAGAGCAACGTAAAAGCTAGCTTGTTAAATATATACCTTGTGATGGAGTCGCTTTTACTAGTATTGCGACATGGGTTATATATGAAATCAAGATCAAGCTGGCAATACCGGAATCTAGAACTTAGGGTAGTATATAAAAGCTATACAATAATTTTGTAACATAGTACTAACGCACCCTTGCGGTTCGAGGGTATGCGAGATCTTCGCTTTACTGGTTACATGTATGTCTCTACCACTAGGACTTATTGTGTGTACTGCAACAACGTAGCTCCATATGAACAGGGAATTATATCCCAGACGATATTATTTCCTGATGTGAACTAGTGCATCGTCCGATTACTGATGGGCTTATTAGGCCTATGCCAAATCATTGTGTTGCAACTCCAGATAACAATAGAACAACTATTGAGTAACTTTATTAATAATGAAGGGCAAAACGTAATCAAATTTTCATTAATATTTAGTTCCTGTATTAATTTAGCTCCTATGGCTGAAAAATACGAAACTGGTATAAAAATCAGATCGAACATCTGCTCCAACACACACATAGACTTACAGTGTACGCTACAGACAAGACAATAGTCTTTAATTCCTTGCAGTGTGCGAGCTCTAACACAATTTGTACATAGGCCCTACTGGTGACGACCTTGTGTCACGCAAATTTTTAAGAAAATCGAGGTAAATTCAGCAAACCAATTAAAACAATTCCCCCAGTGCTCTCAAAACCAAAAATTTGGAATGGCGGGTCTAAGAAGTAGGTGGAGGGCACTTGACTTTATAACTTCAATATAACTGCATGCAGACAAGCCAATCGAGGTGAGACAACAGCATCTTACCCTCCCTTCCCCCCCCCCCCCAACCCCACACAGACAAGCAGGTCACATGTCAATTGAAAATTGTACCTTTATCTATTTTGCATGTATTTTTTAAGGAATAAGATGTTTTGGGTATTGAAAAAAATGTTGAAAATGTCTTGATCACGTTGCCAACTCTCAAACATCATGCCATTAATTTTTTTCATTAATTGAATAGCATCACAGCACATTTCTTCAGTACTCAAAGAAAGCCAGTAATACCATTACAGACACTCCGAGTATTATAAAAAGAATTTTCTTCAAAACTTCTGGCGATACATCTCCCTCAAGTTCAGCACCGAGAATTTCAAAGAATGTTATGTATAAAAATGATCCTGTGCATACACTCTGTAGAATTCCATCTACAAATTCACTGCCCGAAGTTTTGGAATATGCCACAGCCATTCCAATTCCTGCCCCTACAGGAGTCGCTGCAGAAAACGTTAAAATAAGGAGAAAAAATTGCCAGCGTTTAAAATTGTCAATCATCCTTAAACTCAACGAGAAAGCTATGAAGCACTTATGAACCACCATAGCTCCAAAAACTGTGGAAATATCTATTTCAGTCTTTTGTATTCCCAACGTTATTCCTTCAAATATGGTGTGAACCAGAAGTACGAGAAACAACAAAGACACACGAATCTTGGCAGTTCCAGGATTATCTCTAGGTTGATCATGATATGCTTCACCACTAGTATGGCGTCTCGATGTAGTCTGACTGTCAGGAGAAATTTCATCCGGTGCTGGTTCAGGATCTTGGTTGGAATTCATATTGTTCACTGAATCTCGGGAATGTTTACGATCTTCTGTCAAATCATGCTTTATAGCCGCCATCTCAATGCTTGAATACTGTCCTTTATTTGATTGTGGAAAAATATTAGTTGCTTCGGAAACGTCAGTATTTTTATCAGGCGCTAGTCTTTGAAAACAAACCTCAGCAATTTTCTCAAAACTCAAACAAACGAATAATCCCATAAGAACTCCAAATTCCGTGATGGGGAATATGGTACGGACGGACGACTCTTTCACAGCATTCTCAGTATGCTCTCTGGCCTCTGGAATCAAATGCATAAACGCTGATCCAAGAAACACACCACCCGTAAAACAGTTGAGACCCCTAAGAAAGGCATTGTTGAGAGATCCGTCCTTAACCTTTCGATGCCATCTCAGAATAAAAAACGGGAGTGCGCCAAATAATAGCGTAAGGCTGAAAAGTGCAGCGATCAAAGCAATGTGAAGTTCGATGAAGCCCATATCTGAATCCGGACTATCGAAATGTTGACTGAAATCAAAGACTTGCAGAGTAAATGGTGTCTGTAAAGAATGTCGCCTAAAGTCCGCAGCAAGCTGCTTGATGACGTGAAGCTCACGAATCACTCTATGGTGTATTATGGTGTACTCAGGCGCGTAATGGAAACGACACACTGTTGCTCTTCCATTCTTTCTATCTTTTCATTTTGAGCGGGCTTTTTGAGGGGACCTTGCCATATAACACTAGACCTATATATGTATATCACGGCGGGTTTGGGGATCTGATCCACCGCGACATGATCCAAGAAGCAAGGCTTAGTATGTACTTCCACAAAGTCCGGTTTATTCCTGGTTAAGAGCTGGGACCTCCAGTCAGCTTGCTCAGCTATCTGGCGTGGCCAAGTCCATTCTTCCCTCTCAAAGAATACATACAAGTTATATAGCCTATTTGAACAATGAACTACTGTTAGAGGTAAATGGTCTTAATTACAAATAGGAAAATGACTTAAGTTGATAAAATTATAATGAAAGAGCGTGGTCAGAGACGTCTAACAGAGAGACCACTGTCTGACCATTTACTGTGTAGATAAATGATGTACCTGACCCATCAATTTTCATAACAGTACAGTTGTGATATGCACATGAAAACCAGTGACAATTCATTGTCACAGCATATAGGCATAGGGACCATTCCCACAGATTTGGATCGATCTATCTCCCTGGGGAGTCTCACTAAATGCCTATCAACTTAATCGTGTTAGACCCCATTCCCAGAGATTAGATCGATCCAAACTAGATCGACCTAACTCCCAGGGGGTTCACGCTAAAAAGCTGTCAGTTAATTACCCCTGACATTTAGATCGATCTATCCCCGTTGGGAGTCTCACTAGATTACTGTCAGATAATCCAGCTTAAATGTCCGTCCCGCCTACTACAAGCTGTAAGGGGGTAATTATCTTTACCCCCTAGCTGATACGGTAGGCGTGACAGACATTTAAGCCGGTTACGTGGTAGCAATTTAGTGAGACGCCCCAAAAAATAGACCGATCCAGATGGATCGATCTGGCATGGAACCCAGTTTTAGTGTTATATGGAAGATCCCCCTCAAAAAGGCTGTTCAATATAAAAAATACGGGTTTTATACATGTTACCTTCAGGGCCCTCTTTCCTAGGAGATGTTGAACGTATGGTAGAAAATTGAACTGCACTTTTCGACCATCATCATTGTGCCTAGCAATTAAATTAAATTGTTCACAACGCATCTTATATTTGATTCCTAATTGACATTTTTAATCAGACCCCATCAATTAAACATCCAAGGATGCACTATTAACAAGTGCATAATCTTATATGGAAAGAGAAAATGATTTTAAATACGGCCTTATAATCACTGAGCGCTTTCAGATCAGCGGACTAAGGCCGTATTCAGAACAGATGATCCGCGGATCAAACATGGCCGATCCCACTTGAAAGCGATGCCGCTAATTCCCTAGTGGTCTCGCCGCCTCAAGGTGCGTCAATCATTTAAACGCCAAATGACCTGCCCATTTTCAACGCCAAATGACCTGTTATCTTTTCATTTAGCTGGTAAGATTGTCAAACTTTTATAACACATCTTTTCAATTTTTATTTAAAAAGGTCACGCCCGACTTAGTTGTCTTGACAGCTGGCTCAGTTGACAATGACATGAGTTAACTGCAGTATTATTCGGACTCGACATGTTTATGCCGTTGTGTTATTATTTCATTTACCAAGCTAACTGGAGGGTCCCATTGGGTATTTTCGTTACCCGCGAAAGCCACTTTTTATTTCTCCCGCGATGCATGAAATTTTCATATTATCTAGGTGATCCTTGGAGCACCCCATCCCCGTGACTCGTGAATGTGGCTTTTTATGCCTTGTTCTTTATGAAACGAAGTTATTATACTCTGTAATTCGTGATTTTCAACTCACCTAGTTCGTAATTTATATGAGATGTGAATAAAAATTTATATACTGTGATTTGTGATTTGGTGATTTTATTTACCGTAAAATGTGATCACTTCCTTCCCCCCCCCCCCACGGGACCCTCTAACTGGAACTACCGTTGATATTGTTCTACGTGATTCACATATCAGCAGCCCAAGCCACTTCACAGAGCGATCACGTGTGAAGGCTGTTCGCGAATACAGTACAAAGTACAATGTGACCCAGGCTGCCTTCACATTGCAGGAATCAATATCCCGCTTCACATAGCGCTGTACTCGCCTTCACATTGCAGGAATCAATAACCCGCTTCACATAGCGCTGTACTCNTCAGGGCCCTCTTTCCAACGAGACTTTTAACGTATGGTAGGAAATTGAATCCACACTTTCCGACCATCATCATTGTGCCTAGCAAATTGTTCACAACGACTCATATATTTTAAAACCGATTCCTAATTGGCAGTTTTACTCTGACCCCATCAATTTAACTTCCAATGGCACGTGCAAGATAAGCATAATCTCAAATGTAAAAAGAAAATAAGGTAAACCACAACCTCATAATGATTCACGCATTCTGGTCTATTTTATCTGACAAGGTGCGTCAATGAGGTCATTCAGAATGGAAGGTTCGAGTATCAACTGATCCAAGATCAAATATGGCGGACCCTACATGAAAGGAAGGTCGCTTAATCCTGTAATGATCTCTCTGCCTTTCACACGCCTCGCCAAGTGCTTCGTTTCTGCAGGGGCACAGTAATTTGACAGGGCACGTAGGGAGGCGTGTGAGAGGCGGAGAGACCATTTCAGGATTAAGCGGTCTTCCTTTAATGTAGGGTCCGCCATGTTTGATCCTTGGATCAGTTGATACTCGGGATCTTCTATTCTGAATGGCCCATATTAACTTATCAACGCCAACTTACTTTTAATCTTTTAAGTGCTGCTTATAGTTTCTCAAGTTCTAACACAATATCTTTTCATTTTTTTTAATGGCACGTCTGACTTGGGTGTATTGTCAGCTGGCTCAGTTGACAACGACATATGGGTTAACTGCAGTATTATTCGGAATCGACATGTTTTTGCTGCCCTGTTGTTCTTTTATTTACCAAGCTAACTGGAGGGTCCCTTTGGGTAATTTCTTTACCCTCGAAAGCCACTTTTTATTTCCCCCGCGCTGCGTGTAATGTTCATATTATTTAGCGTGATCCGTGAAGCACGCCTGAAGTGAACGGGGCTTTTTATTCCTTTTCCTTCGTGAAACGAAGTTATTATACGAAGTGATTCGTGATTTTCAACTCGCCGAACTCGCATTCTATGAGATTTGAACAAAGACTTAACAACGATTTGATGATTTTATTTCACGTGAAATGTGAAACTACCCCCCATGGGACCCTCTTACTGGACCTCCCGTTTATATTGTTCAACGTGATTCACATAACAGCAGCCCAAGTCACTTCACAAAGCGATCACGTGTGAAGGCTGTGATCGTCTACAGTGCAGAGTACAATGAGACCCAGGCTAGGTCAAAGGGTCGCTTTCACATTGCAGGTATCAATAATATAACCCGCTTCACATAGCGCTGTACTCAGGTTATATAATGGCAGAGTAACGGGAAACATTCGATGTGAGACGGGAGTGTTGCCGGGGCTAGACAAAAGGGACGTCACTGACTAAGTCAAGAACAGATTTTTTATCATATGAAGTATAAGCAAACTTTCTGTCACCATGAATCTAGTTGAGACCAAAGTCCTCGTTTTGGCTATCTTTTTAGCGCTGAAGATTTTATTCGGACTACTTCCTTTGTTTGTGACCCGTTGGTGGACTCTATACATCGCCAGGGACATGGCGCTTTATAATTCACTACTCGGATCCCTCAACTGTTTTGCCGGTGGGGTATTCTTAGGAGTGGCTTTCTTGCACCTGATCCCAGAGGCTAGGGCCGAAATGGACGAAGTAATGACTGAAGCTAATATTCACACCCATTATCCTCTAACAGAACTGGCGGTGGTAATAGGACTCTTTCTTGTGTTGATTTTTGAAATGGTTTTGATGCTGTGTATAGGCCGTGGCGGCTACTTACTTCGACATCTTCATGGGCATTCTCACCCCGATGCAGACATGCCGACAGACGTGGGGAAAGTGCAGTTAACAGACACGAACCATGAAGAGGACAAACCAAGCGGACAGCCGGGCGATCCTACGCTTTCAAGTAACACAGATGATAACAGCAGTGGGACGCTTTCTGAACCCAATGTTCTCGACTGCACAGACGACACGGAGTTAATAGCAGCTAAGACAGGGGCAGTTCCAAAAATACGTATTCTTCTTCTGTATCTTGCCCTTTCGTCACATACTGTCTTCGAGGGGCTGGCTCTTGGATTGCAGGACAGTAGTGTCCAATTATGGACTTTATTTGGTGCCATGATGGTCCACGTAATTATCATTACATTCACCCTTAGTATGAAACTGGTGGAAACTTTTAGCTTAAAACCTTTCCTGATTTTCATATTTTGCTTTTCGACCATTTCTCCCATAGGAATTGGAATCGGGATAATTATAACTGATGTTGGACAGAATACCTTGGCAACGGGTTTAACAACAAGTATTCTGGAGAGTCTGGCTACTGGTACATTTCTGTATGTGACATTTTTCGAAATTCTAAAGAGAGAGCTTGAAAGTGGCACACCATCACAGGGACTGAAAAAAACATTTTTCATCGTTCTGGGTGTTGCTGTAATGGGAGCTCTTGCAATCCTCGAATAGCACAGTCACTAGGTCCAGTGCTTTTCACAAACTAGTTTTGTTAAAAAAAATTTAAGTAACGACATTCTAAAAGTGCAATTCTGACTGAAGTGCAAAAAAGGACAGGCGCCGTGTACGTGCCTCTGTGACTTCTGTTCACCTTTCGATTTTATTTATAAATATTCTAAAAACATACTTGATCACAAGAAAACTGGCTTTACTATCCAATAAAGATGTCTATAATCATTGACATACGTTAGGTAGTTCTTCACCGACCTAAAACTCAAAACAAAAAATTACTATGTGCCCCCTACGCTGGGAGAAATAGGTTAGTCTATATCATACATATACATATATTTTTAATTCAGTTTTCATGCGTGAACGCTTGTGTGTAAATAATAATAATAATAATAATAATTTTTGCTTGATATAAGCAATTTATTGGTCAGTTATTTAATGGTATCAGTGCTAATTGGTGACACTAAGCAATGTGGATTTCTAAAAAACATGGAAATGCTGATTAACGTCGTGACGAATAGGCCTATCCCTGCTCTCTTTGCTTTAACAATATGCAAGTCAGCAAAACTTAACTGTTTGATAAGATATGGTATATTGCAATGATTTAAGGTACACAACTGATGACAAACAAAATCACAAATGATCAGTCTCTCACGTTAATTTTAACCCATATCATTTACCATGGTCATTTGGAGTAATGTCTTCATTCAATGTGCAAATCTGAGAATGGGGCCTATCTATCGCCTTCAGGGCCCTCTTTCCAACGAGACTTTTAACGTATGGTAGGAAATTGAATCCACACTTTCCGACCATCATCATTGTGCCTAGCAAATTGTTCACAACGACTCATATATTTTAAAACCGATTCCTAATTGGCAGTTTTACTCTGACCCCATCAATTTAACTTCCAATGGCACGTGCAAGATAAGCATAATCTCAAATGTAAAAAGAAAATAAGGTAAACCACAACCTCATAATGATTCACGCATTCTGGTCTATTTTATCTGACAAGGTGCGTCAATGAGGTCATTCAGAATGGAAGGTTCGAGTATCAACTGATCCAAGATCAAATATGGCGGACCCTACATGAAAGGAAGGTCGCTTAATCCTGTAATGATCTCTCTGCCTTTCACACGCCTCGCCAAGTGCTTCGTTTCTGCAGGGGCACAGTAATTTGACAGGGCACGTAGGGAGGCGTGTGAGAGGCGGAGAGACCATTTCAGGATTAAGCGGTCTTCCTTTAATGTAGGGTCCGCCATGTTTGATCCTTGGATCAGTTGATACTCGGGATCTTCTATTCTGAATGGCCCATATTAACTTATCAACGCCAACTTACTTTTAATCTTTTAAGTGCTGCTTATAGTTTCTCAAGTTCTAACACAATATCTTTTCATTTTTTTTAATGGCACGTCTGACTTGGGTGTATTGTCAGCTGGCTCAGTTGACAACGACATATGGGTTAACTGCAGTATTATTCGGAATCGACATGTTTTTGCTGCCCTGTTGTTCTTTTATTTACCAAGCTAACTGGAGGGTCCCTTTGGGTAATTTCTTTACCCTCGAAAGCCACTTTTTATTTCCCCCGCGCTGCGTGTAATGTTCATATTATTTAGCGTGATCCGTGAAGCACGCCTGAAGTGAACGGGGCTTTTTATTCCTTTTCCTTCGTGAAACGAAGTTATTATACGAAGTGATTCGTGATTTTCAACTCGCCGAACTCGCATTCTATGAGATTTGAACAAAGACTTAACAACGATTTGATGATTTTATTTCACGTGAAATGTGAAACTACCCCCCATGGGACCCTCTTACTGGACCTCCCGTTTATATTGTTCAACGTGATTCACATAACAGCAGCCCAAGTCACTTCACAAAGCGATCACGTGTGAAGGCTGTGATCGTCTACAGTGCAGAGTACAATGAGACCCAGGCTAGGTCAAAGGGTCGCTTTCACATTGCAGGTATCAATAATATAACCCGCTTCACATAGCGCTGTACTCAGGTTATATAATGGCAGAGTAACGGGAAACATTCGATGTGAGACGGGAGTGTTGCCGGGGCTAGACAAAAGGGACGTCACTGACTAAGTCAAGAACAGATTTTTTATCATATGAAGTATAAGCAAACTTTCTGTCACCATGAATCTAGTTGAGACCAAAGTCCTCGTTTTGGCTATCTTTTTAGCGCTGAAGATTTTATTCGGACTACTTCCTTTGTTTGTGACCCGTTGGTGGACTCTATACATCGCCAGGGACATGGCGCTTTATAATGCACTACTCGGATCCCTCAACTGCTTTGCCGGTGGGGTATTCTTAGGAGTGGCTTTCTTGCACCTGATCCCAGAGGCTAGATCCGAAATGGACGAAGTAATGACTGAAGCTAAAATTCACACTCATTATCCTCTAACAGAACTGGCGGTGGTAATAGGACTCTTTCTTGTGTTGATTTTTGAAATGGTTTTGATGATGTGTATAGGCCGCGGCGGCTACCTACTTCGACATCTTCATGGGCATTCTCACCACGATGCGGACGTGCCGACAGACGTGGGGAAAGTGCATTTAACAGACACAAACCATGGAGAGGAAAAAACAAACGGACAGCCGGGCAGGCNAGAACTGGTGGTGGTAATAGGACTCTTTCTTGTGTTGATTTTTGAAATGGTTTTGATGCTGTGTATAGGCCGTGGCGGCTACTTACTTCGACATCTTCATGGGCATTCTCACCACGATGCGGACATGCCGACAGACGTGGGGAAAGTGCAGTTAACAGACACGAACCATGAAGAGGACAAACCAAGCGGACAGCCGGGCGATCCTACGCTTTCAAGTAACACAGATGATAACAGCAGTGGGACGCTTTCTGAACCCAATGTTCTCGACTGTACAGACGACACGGAGTTAATAGCAGCTAAGACAGGGGCAGTTCCAAAAATACGTATTCTTCTTCTGTATCTTGCCCTTTCGTCACATACTGTCTTCGAGGGGCTGGCTCTTGGATTGCAGGAAAATAGTGTCCAAGTATGGACTTTATTTGGTGCCATGATGGTCCACGTAATTATCATTACATTCACCCTTAGTATGAAACTGGTGGAAACCTTCAGCTTAAAAACTTTCCTGATTTTCATATTTTGCTTTTCGGCCATTTCTCCCATAGGAATTGGGATCGGGATAATTACAACTGACGTAGGACAGGACACCTTGGCAACGGGTCTAACAACAAGTATTCTGGAGAGTCTAGCTACTGGTACATTTCTGTATGTGACATTTTTCGAAATTCTAAAGAGAGAGCTTGAAAGTGTCACACCATCACAGGGATTGAGAAAAACATTTTTCATCGCTCTGGGTGTTGCTGTAATGGGAGCTCTTGCAATCTTCGAATAGCACAGTCACTAGGTCCAGTGCTTTTCACAAACTAGTTTTGTTTAAAAAAAATTAAGTAACGACATTCTAAAATTGCAATTCTGACTGAAGCGCAAAAAAGGACAGGCGACGTGTACGTGCCTCTGTGACTTCTGTTCACCTTTAGATTTTATTTATAAATATTCTAAAAACATACTTGATCACAAGAAAACTGGCTTTACTATCCAATAAAGATGTCTTTAATCATTGACATACGTTAGGTAGTTCTTCACCGAACTAAAACTCAAAACAAAAAATTACTATGTGCCCCCCTACGCTGGGAGAACTAGGTTAATCTATATCATACATATACATATATTTTAATTCAGTTTTCATGCGTGACCGCTTGTGTGTAAATAATAATAATAATAATAATAACAATAATTTTTGCTTGATATAAGCAATTTATTGGTCAGTTATTTAATGGTATCAGTGCCAATTTCTGACACTAAGCAATATGGATTCTAAAAAGCATGAAAATGCTGATTAACGTCGTAACGAATAGGCCTATCCCTGCTCTCTTTGCTTTTACAATATGCAAGTCAGCAAAACTTAACTGTTTGATAAGATATGGTATATTGCAATAATTTAAGGTACACAACTGATGACAAACAAAATCACAAATGATCAGTCTCTCACGTTAATTTTAACCCATATCATTTACCAGGGTCATTTGGAGTAATGTCTTCATTCAATGTGCAATTCTGAGAATGGGGCCTATCTATCGCCTTCAGGGCCCTCTTTCCAACGAGACCTTTAACGTATGGTAGGAAATTGAATCCACACTTTCCGACTATCATCATTGTGCCTAGCAAATTGTTCACAATGACTCATATATTTTAAAACCGATTCCTAATTGGCAGTTTTACTCTGACCCCATCAATTCAACTTCCAATGGCACGTGCAAGATAAGCATAATCTCAAATGTAAAAAGAAAATAAGGTAAACCACAACCTCATAATGATTCACGCATTCTGGTCTATTTTATCTGTCAAGGTGCGTCAATGGGGTCATTCAGAATGGAAGATTCGAGTGTCAACTGATCCAAGGATCAAATATGGCGGACCCTACATGAAAGGAAGATCGCTTAATCCTGTAATGATCTCTCTGCCTTTCACACGCCTCGCCATGTGCGTCGTTCCTGCAGGGGCACAGTAATTAAATCTCGGCTCCCTTTGACAGGACGCGTGGGGAGGCGTGTGAGAGGCGGAGAGACCATTTCAGGATTAAGCGGTCTTCCTTTCATGTAGGGTCCGCCATATTTGATCCTTGGATCAGTTGATATACTCGGATCTTCAATTCTGAATTGCCCATATTTACTTATCAACGCCAACTTACTTTTAATCTTTTAAGTGCTGCTTATAGTTTCGCAAGTTCTTTATAACACAACATCTTTTCAATTTTTTTTAATGTCACGTCTGACTTGGGTGTATTGTCAGCTGGCTCACCCAAGTCAGACGTGACATTTAAAAAAAATTCACGTCTGACTTGGGTGTATTGTCAGTTGGCTCAGTTGACAATGACATATGGGTTAACTGAGTATTATTCGGAATCGACATGTTTTTGCTGTCGTGTTGTTCTTTTATTTACCAAGCTAACTGGAGGGTCCCTTTAGGTAATTTCTTTACCCTCGAAAGCCACTTTTTATTTCCCCCGCGCTGCGTGTAATGTTCATATCATTTAGCGTGATCCGTGAAGCACGCCTGAAGTGAACGCGGCTTTTTATTCCTTTTCCTTCGTGAAACGAAGTTATTATACGAAGTGATTCGTGATTTTCAGCTCGCCGAACTCGCATTCTATGAAATATGAACAAAGACTTAACAACGATTTGATGATTTTATTTCACGTGAAATGTGAAACTACCCCCCATGGGACCCTCTTACTGGGCCTCCCGTTTATATTGTTCAACGTGATTCACATAACAGCAGCCCAAGCCACTTCACAAAGCGATCACGTGTGAAGGCTGTGATCGTCTGCAGTGCAGAGTACAATGAGACCCAGGCTAGGTCAAAGGGTCGCTTTCACATTGCAGGTATCAATAATATAACCCGCTTCACATAGCGCTGTGCTCAGGTTATATAATGGCAGAGTAACGGGAAACATTCGATGTGAGACGGGAGTGTTGCCGGGGCTAGACAAAAGGGACGTCACTGACTAAGTCAAGAACAGATTTTTTATCATATGAAGTATAAGAAAACTTTCTGTCACCATGAATCTAGTTGAGACCAAAGTCCTCGTTTTGGCTATCTTTTTAGCGCTGAAGATTTTATTCGGACTACTTCCTTTGTTTGTGACCCGTTGGTGGACTCTATACATCGCCAGGGACATGGCGCTTTATAATGCACTACTTGGATCCCTCAACTGTTTTGCCGGTGGGGTATTCTTAGGAGTGGCTTTCTTGCATTTGATCCCAGAGGCTAGGGCCGAAATGGACGAAGTAATGACTGAAGCTAATATTCACACCCATTATCCTCTAACGGAACTGGCGGTGGTAATAGGACTCTTTCTTGTGTTGATTTTTGAAATGGTTCTGATGTTGTGTATAGGCCGTGGTGGCTACTTACTTCGACATCTTCATGGGCATTCTCACCACGATGCAGACGTGCCGACAGACGTGGGGAAAGTGCATTTAACAGGCACAAACCATGGAGAGGAAAAAACAAACGGACAGCCGGGCGGGCCCTCGCTTTCAAGTAACCCAGAAGATAACAGTAGTGGGACGCTTTCTGACCCCAATGTTCTCGACTGCACAGACCGCACGGAGCTACTAGCAGCCAAGACAGGGGCAGTTTCCAAAATACGTATTCTTCTACTGTATTTTGCTCTTTCATCACACGCGGTCTTCGAGGGGCTTGCTCTGGGGTTACAGGACGATAGCGTCCATGTATGGACTTTATTTGGTGCCATGATGGTCCACGAAATTATCATTACATTCACCCTTAGTATGAAACTTGTGGAAACTTTTAGCTTAAAACCTTTCCTGATTTTCATATTTTGCTTTTCGGCCATTTCTCCCATAGGAATTGGAATCGGGATAATTATAACTGATGTTGGACAGAACACCTTGGCAACGGGTCTAACAACAAGTATTCTGGAGAGTCTAGCCACTGGTACATTTCTGTATGTAACATTTTTCGAAATTCTGAAGAGAGAGCTTGAAAATGGCACACCAACACAGGGATTGAGAAAAACATTTTTCATCGTTCTGGGGTTTGCTGTAATGGGAGCTCTTGCAATCTTCGAACAGCACGATCACTAGCAGGCCCGTAGCCAGCAATTTCAAAAGGGGGGTTCGTTTTTTTGAAAAAGTGGACCTTTTCCCATAAAAACTTCATGTACCTAGATCAAATTTTTACCCAGAGTGGACCTTTTCCCAGCAAAAGGGGCGGTTCTTTCGAACCCCCCGAACCCCCTGGCTACGGGCCTGCTAGGCCCAGTGCTTTTCACAAACTAGTTTTGTTGAAAAAATAAGTAACGACATTCTAAAAGTGCAATTCTGACTGAAGCGCGAAAAAGGACAGGCGCCCGCATATCCTGCTCAGTGAAATTGAACGAACGTGAATGAAATTAGTTAACCAGCATTGTATTAAGCAATTTTCACGAAATGGAAGATTTTCCTGTCGAATTTTGTCAAAAGTTGTGTAATTGCGAATTGATTAATGTATTATTAACGGACTATATTGCATTAATGTATTAACACTTTATATTTCGATTCTCCTGCGTTTAATTTTTTTTTTTTTTGATTAGGTTATCATTAAGTCGTCCTTCGAAAAGGGATCCTGGTAAATAAATGAGATTTTGCCTCTTTACTAATTATGCATTAGTGAAATACACGTATGAATGTAGTAATGAAGTGATCTTTGTGATTCATTGCAATTTTCTGCTATTACCGCTGTTCATACTGTAACATGCATGGAAATCTAAAAACTGGATACATGCATGTCCCTATGTGACTTCGGTCCTCCTATAGATTTTTTAAAAATTATATTCTAACAACGTACTTGTTCACTGCAAACTGGCATTACTATCCAATAAAGATGTCTATAATCATTGGCATTCGTTAGGTAGTTCCGCACTTATATAAAACTCAAAACAAAAATTAACCATGTGTCCTTTATGCTGGGTGAACTAGGTTAGTCTAGATCATATACACATTTTTAATTTACAGTTTGCATGCTGCGTGCTCGTGTAAGAAAACAAATATAAATTTTGCTTGATGTAAACAATTTATTGGTCAATTATTTACTGGCGTCAGTCCAGTTGGTGACATTAAGCCATATGTAATAAAACAAATATAAATGTTTCCTTGATATTAGCAATTTATTGGTTCTTTACTGGTGCCAGTCTAGTTGGCGGTACTAAGCAATATGTAATAAAAAATATAAATTTCTGCCTCTTTACTAATTATGCATTAGTGAAATACACGTATGAATGTAGTAATGAAGTGATCTTTGTGATTCATTGCAATTTTCTGCTATTATCGCTGTTCATACTGTTACATGCATGGAAATCTAAAAACTGGATACATGCATGTCCCTATGTGACTTCAGTCCTCCTCCTCTAGATTTTTTAAAAATTATATTCGAAGACTTGTTCACTGCAAACTGGCATTATTATCCAATAAAGAGGTCTATAATCATTGGCATTCGTTAGGTAGTCCCGCACTTATATAAAACTCGAAACAAAAATTAACCATGTGTCCTTTATGCTGGGTGAACTAGGTTAGTCTAGATCATATACATATTTTTAATTTACAGTTTGCATGTCTGCGTGCTTGTGCAAGAAGACAAATATAAATTTTGCTTGATATAAACAATTTATTGGTCAATTATTTACTGGCATCAGTCCAGTTGATGACATTAAGCCATATGTAATAAAACAAATATAAATGTTTCCTTGATATTAGCAATTTATTGGTTCTTTACTGGTGCCAGTCTAGTTGGCGGTACTAAGCAATATGTAATAAAAAATATAAATTTCTGCTTCAGCAATATGCATTTCTATAATGTATATTAATGCACATTGTCATAAGGCACATTTCTGTTCTCTTTGCTTTTTTTAATGCAAGTAAATAATACTTAACTGTGAGTTAAGAAATGATATATTGCAATAATTAAATGTACATAAGTGATACAAAACAAAATCACAAATAATCAGTCTCTCAAGTTGATTTCCATCATTTTCATTTTTTCAAAAAAAAAAAAAAAATGCAAGGAAATAAAACTTGACTGTGTGATAAGAAATGATATATTGCAATAATTAAACATACACAAGTGATTAACCAATCACTGGGGTAATGTCTCCATTCAATGTTCAATTCTGAACACTCTCAAGAAGGCTTATTCATATAGAGAAAAAAATTCCACATATCTCGATCTGAATTTTTAAAAAATCATTTAAATTTCACACTTTTCTTGGAAGAAATTCGGCAACCATCATTCCATAATAACTTGGGTGGTAGTTTACGAGTAGCCTGTGAGTCCAGCTGTCCAGCCCTGCAGCCTGCAGCATACCCTGTAGCATTACCAGCCCTGGAAAACAATGCACATGAATTAGGACCAAGACCATTTCAGACTGGAAATCTGCCAAAAAAAAAAGGTTATCAGATGACTAGATTTCAGTGAAACCACCATGCACAGAGACACAGGTATACAGACTGAAGTTACATGTGTTGGACAGTTTATAATAAAAAAATCCTTGGGTAAAGAATCCTGGTTATGATGATGTTTTCAGGCTGATATATGGTCTAAAAAAAGTCCTGCTCTGAACAGGGCATGAACAGTGAAAAAAAACAAAAAACAAAATAACATTTAATTTACAAATGAATATAAGAGTAACAGTTGATATTTCTTTAACAGAAGCTACTGTTTCTGTAATAAGTGTACTCCTACAGTAATGGTGGTGCAATGCTGTAAATTGTTATGAAACTTGCTTATAAATAAACATAAGACTACTAACCCGTGTATCCACAGGATTTAGCCTCATCTACATAGTTGGCTGCAGTCTTCAGGAGAGCTTCTGGCTGCAGTGTAGATGCCCAGGTTCCACAGGCCTACAGAGTACAATGATATTACCTAGTGGTCATGCTAATAAGGAAATATTTTCTTTTCAAACTTAAAATACTTTGAACATTTTCTCTCTTTGTCTATTACAGCAGTCTGTTATTCTGTGTTTGTTATTTAAAATGAAGAGCTTTGTTGATTGTAATCGTACCATGGTAACCAAGTTAAAAAACTGCCACTGAACATAATATCAAATGATCTTTCTCTGTAAACCACAAACACAAGAACATATGGTGAATTGAACTGAACCCTTAAAAATGATGATAACTGATGTAAGATTTATAGATATACTCAGACATAATTATGTTAACTTAATTTAGTTAAATGTAACCACAATTAAGCTTTAATATATTCAGATGTGTAAAGTTGCATGTCAGCTAGAACAGTTAATTTTAAATGCAATCTGTTATATGGAAGATGTGGAATACATGTGCAATTAATTTTTAATCTATTAAGATGTATATAAGCATATGGCACAATGCACGGCAGTTATGGAAGTTAATTTAAAATGCAAATTAAGATCAATCATAAAAGAGGCGACAGAGTAACAAAGAGAGATACATGCATAGACAGTGAGATAGACAGACACACTTATAGAGAATCTTACAGTACAAGAGTTTTGCAGAAACAAACCATGTAACAAAAAATTATAAATGCGTCTCAGTTGTGTTGTTGGTGAAAATCAACAAGATCCTGTATGGCTGTTAGAGAATAAAGAATGTATGGCTGTTAGAGAATAAAGAAAATCTCTAACCTTGTCAAAGGGCTCGGAGGCATTAGAATACCCATAGGGCCCTTCTTCAGAGTGGGTGTGGGCCAAGTCAGCACTGATTATCACGACAACTTTCTTGTCAGCTAATTCTTCTAGTTCCTGGTAAAGCTTTTGTCCTTGATATTGAAATAAGACTTATTAATGAATAATCAATGAATTCAGTGACATATGCAACCTGTCACAGAAGTGCTCTTAGAAAACAAACCTTAATAACAAATGTTCTCATCTTCTATGCAAAACAAATCTATATATTTATTAAAATCCATATAATATCTCAGAATGATTTTCATAGCTCAATGACAGTAATTGATTGCCTTTTTAGTAGAATATATTTAAAAAAATATTCACATGATTGAAATTACCTAACATTAAAAGTTCTGGTATCATTTTTACTGACTCTGTATATCTTTTTGAAGGCTGTGAAATAACAACTATCTTCATGTTTTTCAGGTCCTTGATAAAACTGAGAGGAATCACTTCTGCCCACCTGAAATGCCAAAATGCTCAAATCTTCATTTACAAAAAAAAAATAATAATAAAAATAAAATAAAATAAAAAAAAAAAAAAAAAATTATATCCTTGTTTTTAATAATCTCCCAATGCATAATTTTCCATATAATTAATTGCTTCCAAGACAACTTGCATCATTTTGGGATCAATTTCAATAATTTAATTTTCAAAAAAATTAATAAATTTAATTACAATATAATATAATCAATTAAATGTTATGTAATCTATAATATTATCCTAATTGTAACATTATCAAAACAAATGACAGTTGGGATATTTATTTCCATCTACAAATGGTTTGTGGCAGTATTAATTAGATTAAGTTTAAGAAACATCTCTCTGACCTCAAGGGGAAAGCGTCGTTGCTCTCCCCTGGTGGGCCAAACGCGCTCAAGCCAGTTACGTCAAATTTCTGTCCAGACAGATTTTTTAAGAGTCCATTAGTGGTATTTACATCAAAATTAGCCGTCAGTTCATAACAACAAGGCGGGCAGGCACAGTTGTCAGTGTCTGCAAAACCATGCCCAGTAGGGTTCATATAAAACGCAAATCTGCTGAGATCAGACACTCCATGCGGGGTGCTTAAAAATATTACATCTGGTTTCTTTTCTGAAATTTGATGTCCAATATCCATGCAGGCTTTATGAACTTCCCAGGCTTGTTGTTTTGCTGTTTCGTTTGTCGTATTAAAATAGGAAGGATTTAAAGCAATACCACCGTGGGGGATAACAAATGTACCGATTATCGCCATAGCTTCACTGACAGGGAAGCTTAAAGCTGCAACTAAATGTATTCCAGTAAATAACGTCTGTAACGTAACCACAACCATGCCTGCTTGTCAGACACACGGTTGTGTGGCGGAAGGATCCCTTTTGGTTGTGGTGCAACAAGAGTTGGTTTGGTATAAAAGTCATAAAACAAAGAGATTGTTAACTTCATTGAAATTGGACATTATCTTAAATACTTGAATAGTTTTATACATTTCTGCCTTGTAAGACTATTGTAAAAAAAATAGTCCTCTGTATCAGGTGGTGAGGTGGTCAAGATGGCGGCCTCCATGTGCTGCCGTAGACTGGAAGGTCTATGGAAGATAAACACTAATATGCGCCTGCAGTATATCGGTAATATTTATTGGATTGCTGTAAGATATACCGGGTCCTTTACATCTCCACTTTATACCTCAAATTCACTACAGAATTGAGTTTGACTGCCTTTTGGTTTATTCCTAATTTGCCTAGTACTACCCGGTGTTGTGCATTGGTCTACTATTCAAGTCGTATGCCTTTTAAGTAGGCAGTCCATCTGTGGCTCCATACGGTTCTATTTACACACGTTCACTCAAAGACACACCCGTTGTTCACATAATATTGACCCCTTTATTTTAATTGTAGGAAAGAGGACCATTCTCTCTGATGCATACCGATGTGATAAGGCTTGGAAGGTATATCTACAGGCCCCAACACTGAGAGAGGTTGATGCAGGTGTGCAATTAGACATTTCTGAAAACTGTAAAATCAGATCTAGGAGACTTTCTGTAAAGTAGTAAATTTCCTAATCAAATAACTGATTTGAATGTAATGTCACTGGGCTTTATATACAAAAGTATGTTATTTTAGTGTATATACCAGTACAGTGGGTTTATAAGTAATATGCACCTTGGATGTGAAATGTCTTATATTATTTATTTAAACCTTTTTTTTTCATTTTCAGTTTCTTTCCAGAATGAAATTTACAATAAATACCAAAAACTAAAGAATGTCAGTGCAGTAGACATTGATATTGTGAGTATTTTTAAAAACAGCAAAAATAAAAAAAGTTAACTCGATCCACAGGAAATGTATGCAGTAAGATTTAAAATCCATTTTATATATATATATATATATATATATATATATATATATATATATATATATATATATATATATATATATATATATATATATATATATATTTATATTTGTGAGACTATACATAATACGTTTATATTTTCACATATGCTTGGGGTTTGTGCTTATGTTTTAGAAAATTCAGCAGCCTCTGGCAACATCTATTTGCATTATTTTTCAGCTGGCCCACGTTCTGCCTTCAGTACCACCAGTTCAGTTGCCATTTACAGTGGAGCTTTTTGAAATGTAAGGGAATGACAACCCTGTATATTGCCAAACATACCATTCTAGGTCTTGTTTTTAATGGAAACAAGAAATATAAAATAATGTTCAAGTTAAATGATCTCATAATGACTATTTTAATTTGCCAAATGTTATACTCGATCAAATATGGGTTTTGTATATATTTTGTTTGACAATTTTTAAATCATGCACATTATACAAATCCTGTTATTATATAAACAGGTTCAGACACTGTAGGGAAGCTGTGGAAGCGAAAGAATCATATCACTATGCACTCATTCGCAGTTGTATAGAAATGAAGAATGAAGAAATGCTCATGAGCATGCTAAGTAAAAAGGTATGTATCACTACAGGCTCTTAAGGATATTGTCACCTTTCGCCCAAAACCCCTTATTTACTGCCTTACATACATTCTTTTGGGTAATAGATAAATCTTCAGTGTTCAGTGAATAAATTAATTGTACCACCAGCGTTAGCGCTGGCGGTACACATGGTTTCGGTCCCGTCCGGATCGTTCCGCCGGCTCCGCCGGCTCCGTTGGCTCCGCCGGCTCCGCCGGACGGCTACCGTTACCGCTTCTCCTCCTAGACGGTAAGGGCCCCCGTACCCATCTCATGGATTTAGGTCCCCTATAATCTCAACTCGTTCCACGTAAAATTTGGGCTTTGTCGGTATTGGGGTCTGGGTGTGGCACTCATTGCAATGCACCCTTGTCTAAAAATGGCAAAATNATAAGGCACATTTCTGTTCTCTTTGCTTTTTTTAATGCAAGTAAATAAAACTTAACTGTGAGTTAAGAAATGATATATTGCAATAATTAAATGTACATAAGTGATACAAAACAAAATCACAAATAATCAGTCTCTCAAGTTGATTTCCATCATTTTCATTTTTTCAAAAAAAAAAAAAAAAAATGCAAGGAAATAAAACTTGACTGTGTGATAAGAAATGATATATTGCAATAATTAAACATACACAAGTGATTAACCAATCACTGGGGTAATGTCTCCATTCAATGTTCAATTCTGAGCACTCTCAAGAAGGCTTATTCATATAGAGAGAAATTCCACAGATCTCAATCTGAATTTTAAAAAAATCATTTAAATTTCACACTTTTCTTGGAAGAAATTCGGCAACCATCATTCCATAATAACTTGGGTGGTAGTTTACGAGTAGCCTATGAGTCCAGCTGTCCAGTCCTGCAGCCTGTAGCATACCATGCAGCATCACCAGCCCTGGAAAACAATACACATGAATTCAGACCAAGACTATTGCAGACAGGAAATCTGCAAAAAAAAAGTTATCAGATGACTAGATTTCAGTGAAACCACCATGCACAGAAACACAGGTATACATACTGAAGTTAAATGTGTTGGACAGTTTATAATAAAAAATCCTTGGGTAAAGAATCCTGGTTATGATGATGTTTTCAGGCTGATGTCTGGTCTAAAAAAAGTCCTGCTCTGAACAGGGCATGAACAGCGAAAAACAAAACAAAACAAAAAAAAAAAACATTTAATTTACAAACGAATATAAGAATAACAGTTGATATTTCTTTAACAGAAGCTACTGTTTCTGTAATAAGTGTACTCCTACAGTAATGGTGGTGCAATGCTGTAAATTGTTTTGAAACATGCTTAAAAATAAACATAAGACTACTAACCTGTGTATCCACAGGATTTAGCCTCATCTACATAGCTGGCTGCAGTCTTCAGGAGAGCGTCTGGCTGCAGTGTAGAAGCCCAGGTTCCACAGGCCTACAGAGTACAATGATATTACCATGTTGTCATGCTAACAAGAAAACATTTTCCTTCCAAACTTAAAATAATTTGAACATTTTCTCTCATCATCTATTACAGCAGTCTGTCATTCTGTGTTTGTTGTTTATATTGGAAAGCCTTTGTTGATTGTAATCGTACCATGGTAACCAAGTTTAAAAAACTGCCACTGAACATAATATCAAATAATTTTTCTCTGTAAACCACAAACACAAGAACATATGGTGAATTGTACTGAACCCTTAAAAATGATGATAACTGATGTAAGATTTATAGATATACTCAGACATAATTATGTTAACTTAATTTAGTTAAATGTAACTACAATTAAGCTTCAATATATTCAGATGTGTATGTGTCAAGTTGCATGTCAGCTAGAACAGTTAATTTTAAATGCAATCTGTTATATGGAATACATGTGCAATTAATTTTTAATCTATTAAGACGTATATAAGCATGGCAGAATGCACGGCAGTTATGGAAGTTAATATAAAATGCAAATTAAGATCAATCATAAAAGAGGCGACAGAGCAACACAGAGAGATACATGCATAGACAGTGAGATAGACAGACACACTTATAGAGAATCTTACAGTACAAGAGTTTTGCAGAAACAAACCATGTTACAGGAAATTATAAATGCGTCTCAGTTGTGTTGTTGGTGAAAATCAACAAGATCCTGTATGGCTGTTAGAGAATATTAAAGAAAGTCTCTAGTTAACCTTGTCAAAGGGCTCCGAGGCATTAGAATACCCATAGGGCCCTTCTTCTGAGTGGGTGTGAGCCAAGTCAGCACTGACTATCACGACAACTTTCTTGTCAGCTAATTCTTCTAGTTCCTGGTAAAGCTTTTGTCCTTGATATTGAAATAAGACTTATTAATGAATAATTAATGAATTCAGTGACATATTGCAACCTGTCACAGAAGTGCTTTTAGAAGACAAATCTTAATAACAAATGTTCTCATCTTCTACACAAAACAAATCTATATACTTATTAAAATCCATATTGCATCTCAGAATGATTATCATAGCTCAATGACACTAACTGATTGCCTTTTTAATAGAATATAAAAAGTTTAAAAAAATATTCACATGATTGAAATTACCTAACATTAAAAGTTCTGGTATCATTTTTACTGACTCTGTATATCTTTTTGAAGGCTGTGAAATAACAACTATCTTCATATTTTTCAAGTCCTTGATAAAACTGAGAGGAATCACTTCTGCCCACCTGAAAAGCCAAAATGCTCAAATCTTCATTTACAAAAAAAAAAATATATATATATATATATATATATATATATATATATATATATATATATATATATCCTCGTTTTTAATAATCTCCCAATGCATAATTTTCCATATAATTAATTGCTTCCAAGACAACTTGCATCATTTTGGGATCAATTTCAATAATTTAATTTTAAAAAAATTAATAAATTTAATTACAATATAATTTAATCAATTAAATGTTATGTAATCTATATTACCCTAATTGTAGCATTATCAAAACAAATGACAGTTGGGATATTTATTTCCATCTACAAATGGTTTGTGGCAGTATTAATTAGATTAAGTTTAAGAAACACCTCTCTGACCTCAAGGGGAAAGCGTCGTTGCTCTCCCCAGGTGGGCCAAACGCGCTCAAGCCAGTTACGTCAAATTTCTGTCCAGACAGATTTTTTAAGAGTCCATTAGTGGTATTTACATCAAAATTAGCCGTCAGTTCATAACAACAAGGCGGGCAGGCACAGTTGTCAGTGTCTGCAAAACCATGCCCAGTAGGGTTCATATAAAACGCAAATCTGTTGAGATCAGACACTCCATGCGGGGTGCTTAAAAATATTACATCTGGTTTCTTTTCTGAAATTTGATGTCCAATATCCACGCAGGCTTTATGAACTTCCCAGGCTTGTTGTTTTGCTGTTTCGTTTGTCGTATTAAAATAGGAAGGATCTAAAGCAATACCACCGTGGGGGATAACAAATGTACCGATTATCGCCATAGCTTCACTGACAGGGAAGTTTAAAGCTGCAACTAAATGTATTCCAGTAAATAACGTCTGTAACGTAGACACAACCATTAGGCCTGATTGCCACACACACGGTTGTGTGGCGGAAGGATCCCTTTTGGTTGTGGTGCAACAAGAGTTAGTTTGGTTTGGTATACAAGTCATAAAACAAAGAGATTGTAAACTTCATTGAAATTGGACATTATCTTAAAAACTTGAATAGTTTTATACATTTCTGCCTTGTAAGACTATTGTAAAAAATAGTCCTCTGTATCAGGTGGTGAGGTGGTCAAGATGGCGGCCTCCATGTGCTGCCGTAGACTGGAAGGTCTATGGAAGATAAACACTAATATGCGCCTGCAGTATATCGGTAATATTTATTGGATTGCTGTAAGATATACCGGGTCCTTTACATCTCCACTTTATACCTCAAATTCACTACAGAATTGAGTTTGACTGCCTTTTGGTTTATTCCTAATTTGCCTAGTACTACCCGGTGTTGTGCATTGGTCTACTATTCAAGTCGTATGCCTTTTAAGTAGGCAGTCCATCTGTGGCTCCATACGGTTCTATTTACACACGTTCACTCAAAGACACACCCGTTGTTCACATTATATTGACCCCTTTATTTTAATTGTAGGAAAGAGGACCATTCTCTCTGATGCATACCGATGTGATAAGGCTTGGAATGTATATCTACAGGCCCCAACACTGAGAGAGGTTGATGCAGGTGTGCAATTAGACATTTCTGAAAACTGTAAAATCAGATCTAGGAGACTTTCTGTAAAGTAGTAAATTTTCTTATCAAATATTAATTACTGATTTGAATGTAATGTCACTGGGCATTATATACAAAAGTATGTTATTTTAGTGTATATACCAGTACAGTGGGTTTATAAGTAATATGCACCTTGGATGTGAAATGTCTTATATTATTTATTTAAACCTTTTTTTTTTATTTTCAGTTTCTTTCCAGAATGAAATTTACAATAAATACCAAAAACTAAAGAATGTCAGTGCAGTAGACATTGATATTGTGAGTATTTTTAAAAACAGCAAAAATAAAAAAAAGTTTACTCGATCCACAGGAAATGTATGCAGTAAGATTTAAAATCCATTTTATATATATATATTTCTGAGACTATACATAATACGTTTATATTTTCACATATGCTTGGGGTTCGTGCTGATGTTTTAGAAAATTCAGCAGCCTCTGGCAACATCTATTTGCATTATTTTTCAGCTAGCCCACGTTCTGCCTTCAGTACCACCAGTTCAGTTGCCATTTACAGTGGAGCTTTTTGAAATGTAAGGAATGACAACCCTGTATATTGCCAAACATACCATTCTAGGTCTTGTTTTTAATGGAAACAAGAAATATAAAATAATGTTCAAGTTAAATGATCTCATAATGACTATTTTAATTTGCCAAATGTTATACTTGATCAAATATGGGTTTTGTATATATTTTGTTTGACAATTTTTAAATCATGCACATTATACAAATGCTGTTATTATAAACAGGTTCAGACACTGTAGGGAAGCTGTGGAAGCGAAAGAATCGTATCATTATGCACTCATTCGCAGTTGTATAGAAATGAAGAATGAAAAAATGCTCATGAGCATGCTAAGTAAAAAGGTATGTATCACTACAGGCTCTTAAGGATATTGTCACCTTTTGCCCAAAACCCCTTATTTACTGCCTTACATACATTCTTTTGGGTAATAGATAAATCTTCAGTGTTCAGTGAATAAATTAATTAAATTTAGACATATGTCATCTTACAGGTGATGTCATAATTGGGATTTTGGGGTAAAAACTGAAAAATTGGTTTCTCAAATTTCTCTTTCAGCTGAGCACCCACGATCACTGTTTCAACACCAATTTAATGCACCATTTAGTACTCCAAAACCAGTGATTTTTCTTAAAATTCTTAGTTCGATTTTATCGTAAATAAAGCAAAATAATGTTTCAACACCAATTTAATGCACCATTTATTACTCCAAAACCAGTAATTTTTTCTTAAAATTCTTAGTTCAGATTTTATTGTTGATAAAGCAAAATAATGCCTTTGTTTAATGAAAATCTGTAATTAGGGGCTTATAACTCCATAACAAAAGCATTTAAACCAAAATGATGGCACAAGATTATAGCTCATATACTTGTGATCAATGCTGCCAATTTTTGTGTTAAAATCTTGTTCAGGGATGAAGTTTCTCCCAATACTAATTGTATCTCACCTCAAAATAGAAAGGTGTGAAATTGACGATTTAACCTTTGAGTTGTCTTTGCTTTTACATTGTAACGAGAAACATAAATGCCAATATTTCATATTTTCATGGGTGTTTTTAGTGTTTTAAATCAGCACAAAGATAGAATAAGATGCATTAGTGAATAATTAGATGCAGGAAAAAACTCACTATAGGTTTCTGGATGATATTAAAGAGTTACAATATCCTTAAGTATCTTTTGGTAAATATTCTACATAGTTTATAGAGGGTGCCTGAAATGTTAATTCTAAATATAATTTTTAGTCAGACTTTTACCAACTAGATATTTATACCTCTTCTGTTTTACAGCTTAAATATGGTGTCTTTCCTGACAACTACTCTGGCAACATCCTTATGGACCATCTGATAAAACAAGAAAACTATGCAGGTATGGAACTGTTACTTATTCTTATTTGAATGTACAAAAATGAGTTCAAAAGATGTACAATAGTATGCAATAAATTTTTACTTCTTTAATAAATGTTTGTGTAAGACAGTGCAGCTGCATCCATTTTAAGATGCATTAAACTGATATTTTCTTTACATTTTCCTCATATTATCTAGATGCAGCAAAGGTAAGCTATGGGTTCATGCTACAGAATGAACTGGGTCATCCATCTACCAGACTTATGTGTTTATACTCATGTGCCTTACATCTACAAAATGGTGCTGTAGTGAAGGTTGAACCACAGGAGGAGCAGGAGACTGTTTTAGAGGAAGAATCACAAGCTACTAGTGAACTTATAGAAGAAGAAAAAGAAGTTGAATATAAATTGGTAGGTTATGCTCTGCAAGGTGAAGCACCATATATTTATATCATTTTGTAACTTACCATATATCAGTCTTTGGAAAAGAAGGCACAAATTAATCCAATAAGAAAGATAGGACACTTTTGGAAAATTGTTTTGCCAAAGCAAAACTGCACTGATAAGTTATTGAGTCATTGAGCTGCAGACTGCATTGCATTTGAGGGCATTTATTTTTAAAATTATATTTGTAAGTTAAAAGGGGAGCCCCCACCCCAATAATAATAATAATAATAATAATAATAATAATGATAATAATAATAATGGTGCATAAGAGATTATTTTAATACTTAATTTTCCTTTGCTTTTGTAAGCATTCAATTATGACATCAAATATTTTATTTCATTTCCATTTTGGTGCCAATTAACTCCTCTCATTTCAGAGACCTGTACTTTATATCTCTCTGCCATACTATGATGATCACTTTGACATCCGAGATGATGTGCTTCTGCTGGGTAAAACCTTTCATGCCCTTGGACAGGTGTTGCCAGAGGAACAGAAGTTAATGAGCCAGAGCTGCAAGTTCTTAGGGCTAGGCCTATACCAAAAGTTTGAGAAAGGACTAGAGCTAGGGAGAAATATTCTAGAGTCAGATGACAAAAATGTTTTATCAAAAATGGCAGTAAGTGCTTTTGGAAAAATACAGTCCATCCATTGTGTGTCTATTTTAGACTTTTTTACAGAGCCAGTGAAGAATCTCGATATACGTATATTCATTATTTATAGGAATACAGAAGTATTTACTACAGTGATTGTCACGTTGAAAATGTTATAACATGATGGTCGTGAAGAACCAAGAATAAGCTGATTTTATAGTTGAGAGAATACTTGAATGTACCAGTAATTTATAGAAAACAGTTTGTGAATTTCTTGGTCAGAAAGAAAGTCTCATTTAAAAGTGTACCAATATGTCAGATGTATACATGGTTTTAAAAGTTTAATGTAATTTTTTCAATAGGTTGAGTTTTTCACCCAAAGTTTGGAGAATGCTCCTACACGGGAAGAAGAAGTGCCAGATATTGATCCAGGGCTGTTGAAAATGAAGCATGTAAAATACAAGTTGAGACTGACTGAAAAAATGAAGGAGGAGCATTTGTCTGAGCTAAAGGTATGATATATAGCAATTTGTAAATTAGTCATCTAGTTGTATTTTACGTAAATGAAGTTATGAATCTTTTACTAGTCTTAGGTAGATTCCATAATGAGATTTAGAATAGCTTCAGCTGTGTGCTAGATAGACTGGCCAAAGCCTCGTGAGATGAAGATGCATTAGATTTTAGTAAAGTTTATTTATGTAAAGGTATAGTTTGAAGATACGACAGTGAGTTCACAATGTTGACTAGTTATGTTGGTAGTATAGTTTTGTGTGAAGTTTTTTTACATTCCTCTTTATCAGATATTAAATTGATAGCCACATTTCTGCTGACATTGTATGTTATTACTAAGCTACAGGTGGCTAAAGAAAACTAGCTGGGTTAGGCTTCTTTCACATGCAATGTCTATTTTGTAAATTCTATTTTCTATTTTCGGTATGTCTTATGATCACGCTCTGTGCCCTGAATATCCCGCGGCGTAATTACTGGCAGCGCGAGCCAGTTACTATGGTTACTATAAGTAACTGGCTCGCGCTGCCAGTAATTACGCGGCGGGATATTCAGGGCACAGACTGTGATCATAAGACATACCGGTATAGAAAATAGAATTTAGAAAATAGACATTGCATGTGAATGAAGCCTTATTTTCTGTTGTCTCTCACTTTTTTTGAAAATGACCGAGTAGATCAAGCCAAAGTGTTGAGTCCTTGACAAGTATTTTATTACTGTCATGGTAATTAATCTTTGGCACATTAATGCCAGGCTAGCATTCTGTAAAACATCCTGATGCATTTAACTTGCTTGGAATTTGCTTGCTTCTGGTACATGTGAACATATGCATGTATGCCCATGTGAAATACTTATTTTCATATTTATTATTTAAAATCAGCAGAGATGTTTTATTCCATTTCAGGATTTAACACAGAAGTTGTCCAATGAAGGAAAAATTGCTGAAGATGATTTATGCGAGGTGGCGAAATCATATGTTGAAAAGGAACTTCCACAATATGAGGAAAATGATATAAAAGCCCAAGAAGATTCATTTAGAAAATGGAGTGAGGACAGAGAAATATCTGTTGATAAACAGATTAAATATTACCTAAGGCTACAAAAACAGAAAGCCATTCATGTACAACTGAAGAAGTTGGAAATAAGAGAAAAAGAAATGGAATTTAGGCTTGATCCCAAACACTTTAAAAAGCTGACTAAAAAGCAGAGAAAGCTTGAAAGGTTGAAGGTGAAGGAGCGTGCCAGGGCTGTGGCCGAACGTAAGAAGAAGGAAGAGGCTGGATGGGAACTTTGATTTCTTGTGAAAATTTCATTTCAAATTTTTTCATGGACTCATTTTTGGCATTTTTTATTTATTATTTTTTTTATTGCAGTGTCTTGTCAGTATATTTGAACTTTTTTTATATCAATCAATTTTTTAAGCAAATATTATTGAAATGAAATTAATAAACATGCGTGTAATATCATAATGAGTAAAAAGGAATTGTACTACGTAACCCTGCTTTGAGTCATCCTTTCACATATTGCATTTGATAACATATTTCTCCTATCACACATTTACATAAACCAGTCAATTACCAGAAATAAAATATTTTGTGGTAAAAGATAAAAAGATCTCCCTTCGGTAAGGTGTGCAATTTTACGTGGTTATTGTATTTGTGAAATAAATACCTTTGAATATACTGTATTAGACAAATTGGCATGTGTTCTTACCTGTGAATTAAATTTTTTTTACATTTGCATTCTAATTACTATTTCTAATCACCATTTAAAACGGGCCAAACAAAATGTTTTAGATAAATAATCAGCTGCAAGTCTTAGTAAACTGGTGGATGAAATTTGCTGCTTTGTAAGCATGATATTCAATGAGCATAACAGCTCAATGGGATTTTTTTGTTTTCTCTGGAGGGGGGGGGGGGAGAGATGTCAGATCCACAGAATGGACAATTATAGAGCATAAAAACACCGCTTAGATTTTTCCTGGGTCAACTGTAAATTTCTCCCACTATCCAAACCAATACACTATGTAAAAAAAAGTGAAAAGGAAAAAATCCTTTTAAATTAACAAAGCCAGTGTGGATTTTCAGTAGCACATATAAACCATTTTAATGTCATATATATTCAAATGAGACTGCTGAGTGATATTTATAGCACAGAAAGAAAGAAAATATCTGTACAAATATTTTTCAAGAAATATGAAATGTTGTCCTTTGGCATTTCTCTAAGGTATACTATGTGAAACTATATGATGGCATTTGGTCAGGTTCTGTGGCAAAATTCTGGCTGTAAATGCATCTTTAATGGTGCTCCATAACCAACTTGGTAAATTATGTCTGGCTTCAATTGTGATATTCTGGTGAGAATGCCTTTATCCCAGTAACAAGTCATGGAAAAGATTGCTGAATCTAAATAAAAATCCAGAGGAGCACATCAGTGTTTTTTCTTTTTCACCTCTATGTGTCTAACTAGTCCAGTGCCAATGTTTTTAAAATCCTCCAGAATCACATCAACATTTGTCTTGAGACTGACATCACTGTTTTCTCCATCTGTGACTGGTGCTCGACAATTAATGTGAGACAGCTGAAACAAAAAGAAGCCGTCTTTGAAAATACCCACTGTTTTCATAATTACTAGCAGCAAATAAAATGGTCAACTATACATTTTTTTAATGTAAAATGTTCTACTATAAATCCACTTAATTTAAAGCTGAGAATGGTGCAACAGTGATGCATTTTGCCATATTTTCTGAACTGAATCTTGTAATGCATTAACAAAACTCTATAAAATTTCAGAGAAAATGTTCTGTATGGTGCCAGTTATGTCTGTAGATCTACAATAAAATATTGACAGATTGGAGCTTCATAAAATATGTGCAATTCAGTATTCATTTCCTTCAATGTAAACGAAAACACTCAAATCACTTGCCTTAAATGGCTGGGTTTCAAAGAAGGCTGGCTTCCACAGCACAGCAATGAAATCCCCTCCAAGGCTGTCATGGAAGAACAGAGCAAATTCTGAGAAGGTCTCCTGAAATTTTATTTAGAAATGAAAGGTAAAATACCAAAATATTTCATTTGTATGAAAGTACAACGATGTTGAAAATTGTAATGCTTGCTGCATATAGTTACTAACATCCTTACATATAACTGAACTTATCCTTACATATAACAGATATATCCTAACATATCAAACTTACCCTCAATTCTTTGAGGTAGATCTGCACTGGGTCAAAGTTAACCACTGGCATGGTTTCTTCCTCTCCTCCTTTGCTATATTCCTTATAGCTTGGAATGAAAGTTTTTGCAGTGGTGTCTACAGCATGATAGTGTCTTGCCAGGTTCTTGGTATTCAGCTGGATAATAACATCGTAGGCATCCAAGGGTGGGCGAAATATTTGCTGAAAAAAATGTTAAATAGTGAAATAAAAAGAGTGTCAAATCCTATTCATGTGATTCATAAATGAGAAAGTGACTGTTCTGATTCATGGAGGAGAGTGATATCACATAAGAACCGCAAATTAGGACCAAGATTTAATCTCTCCCATATCTGGGATGAGGCCTTTACACAAATATCTAGCCATCTGACCAGTCACGTGACCAGCCTATCGGGTCACAAACACTCTTTTCCCAGTTGCAGATCAAATTGTTGTGTAATCATTATCAAAGTCCAGTTACTGTACCAGATTTACTTTTTCCTGTTATGATTCATAAACATCTACATCATCTAGTATTCGAACTTAATGCAAAATACAATTTAAAAAATCAATATATATATTCTTTTTGAAATTGAAGTTAGAAAAGCAAAAATGTCTCCAGAAATTTTACCTTGAAATCAACTATTTGGTGAGTTTCCATCAGTTGTTCCTGCAGGACAGCGAGTGATTCTCTAGCTAGTAGCACTATTCTCTGCAGTATGGGCACAGTGGGCTTATGTTTAGTGAACATGCTGCTGTTTTTGTCATATGGGGTGGCTATGAACATCAAGGGAAGTGTGCTCCGCTCCTTGGTGAATTTTGTCCGAATTTCTGTGCATTCTAGATCTGCATAAGATATGAAATATTTTATAAATGCTTTGAATATACAAATGGTGAAATTGAAAACACAAATGGTGGCAGCTTTATGAAATAACAAAATTTGTTTTTTTCTATCAATCATGATTTTGGCCATCACATCACATGCGAACCCAATATTTACTTACTGGTTAATTCATTGTTGAGGTTCACTATTAGAGGAGACAGGGACCAGTCATGGTTTGATAGGAGATGGAGAAAACGCATAAGGCCAGAAGCCACTGAGCTACAGTAAAGAGAAAATAATGATTAATAACAGATTGGTTGCAATATCATTTCATAGCCTGAAATTGTATGGTTTCAATATTTCTGCATATTAAAATATCCTAAATTATTATGTGAATACTGATGTCTTTTGAAACAATGGTATTTGTTCTGTTATTCAATTTATGTTAGCTTAAATGAAAACAAACTTGTACAATCTTGAAAAATATGAAAAAAAATAATAGTAATAAAATATAATGATATTCGTATGTTTCAATACCTGGGTGGTGTGAAGGGGGCCGGGCACAGGTACAAATAGGCCACCAGTAGTTCTATAGCCTCCTCTGCTATGTGGTCCCCTAACAGCTGAGCACACACCCATCTCTTGGCCAGTCTCACTACACTGCTGAGGGCATGGTGCTGCTGTTGTAAACTGGAGAAACAAATGACAAAAATGACTGAGTAAAATATATAGTATAACTGAGCAAATTTCAAAGTTGATTTAATTGGTTACGTATCACTGACCCTAAATAAACTTATTAATTGCACCGCTAACCTAAATGAATGCAAAAATGTTTATTGGAAAATGGGACATATCATAAGACCCTAAATCCAATAAACAACATAATAAAATGGCTGTTTTGCATCATTTTTGGCAACACTTTTTAAAAACATACCCATGCATTGCAGTGCTAAACTTAGGGAGTGTAACAAGCTCCTTTTCCATTGCTGATGATTCTTCAGTTTCTCTCATTGTAACAAGTCCCTCTGGAGTCTTCTTCATTTTCAACATGGCAATTTCTTTTAGGTAACCAAGGGTGATTCTGAACACAAAGCCATCCTAAAACAAACAGCAATAAAACTATTTTGTTATTTTTTGGTACATTTAAGTTTCCATTATGTAAAAATTGGCGTGAAAATATGCTTACTAGAAGTATTCATCTAAACTTGTTTTCTGTAAAGCTGCACTTACCTTGAAAACATCCACATGGTCAACATTAGCATAGCTAGTCATGGAATGCTGTTTCTTTAGCAGGTTTGCCAACTGAATGTGAAAAGCTGCCTTGAGCCTTCTGATTGCCTCGGCATCCTCTGGCCATTTCCCACTGGCCTCTAACAGACAGACCACTGAAATTAAAAATGAACAATGCTCAAAATGTCATGTTAATGGATTTGAAGGAATTTCATTTAGATCATAAAATCATGAAAAGTTGTGTTGTTCCCACTGCCAATCGAACCAGTTCCCTCTGCACTCCTCTACATCTTTTACAATTGATCTTATCTACATCTGATACAATTTTGATCAAAAGGAAATCTATAACATGAATTACCTTTCATCGATTTCACCCAAGGAGGACAGGGTTTGTCTGGCAGAGGTAGCTGTCTGCCACCCACTACTTTAGTTGCTGCTTTGAATGTAGCTGGCATTGCTGGAAATACCTGAGGAATACATTTCTCTATTATTAATATACTTAAGACTAGTCATGCAGATAAAATGCCTCTAGTTTCTTTGTAAGAACTACAGGACTTAGTTACTTAGTTTTGATATACTGATTTCAACTATTACTGTCTGTAGCTCTTCTCTCTCTCACATCTTAAATAAAAATAGAATAAAAAGAGATGAACACGCACGCACGCACGCACGCACGCACGCACCCCCCCCCCCCCCATGCCTTAAGCCTTAATAGTTAGCTTACATCAGCATATCTGAACACAGGATCAGTTCCCTGAATGGTATGTATGGCCAGAGGCAAGTCCTGTAGGTTCCTCAGGACCTTACAAAGGTGATCATAGCTTCTGGTGATATTATAATTCTGCTCTTCTCCCGTGCCATATAACAGGGTGGATTTATTTGTAGGTTGTGGGAGACATAATAAAGAATTCAGCTGACCACATGTATAGTGCATGGAGTCACGGGGAATCTCAGCATGTCTGGAAAAAAATGAAAGTTGTATCAATGTGCCAAAGCTTGCAGTTCTGAGTAAACATCAAATTCAATCCTGCATCTTTCTAAGAGATATAAATTTGAAAAATGACTCTCTCTCTCATTTGTTTATTTTCAAACAGGTAAACCCCAAGTTTCTATTGCATTTCTTTGTGACAGTTAAAGAACATTGTATCATTTACAACAGAACAATACCAAGGAAAAAAATCAAAGACATCTTTTTTATTACATATGTATGTACCTTCCCATGAAATCCTTACCTGACCAAAATGTGTTTGATAATTTTACCACACACAAGTCTTCTATCTGCCAAAGTTTTGCTGGGCCACACAACTGCCTCGCAGATTGTGCCATCTTGAAATCGTCTCAGCTCTGATATATCTCCCCAGAATTCTCTGAATGACTTTGCCTAAATGAAGCAAAAAAACTGACTATACAAAAAAGTTAAGATAGAAGTCCCTTCTCCTTTACACATTTCACTGATTTACATCATGGGTAATTCATGAATAATTTGACCAGAGTACTTGGCATATAACACTAAAAGATTGCAAAACAATCTAAACTGAATACAACTTCCAATCACTACTTTAAGAAATGAACAATTTAAAATTTTCATATTTATTGCTACACGTAAGTACCTAAGTTTAGAATTTTGATATTACTATGGAGGCAGAGATAAAATCTACGAAAAAAACTGCTGGTTAATACTACCTCTGGACTGTCTGCAGCAGGTCCTTTGTCTAGAATGGTGGTGCATGACTCAGCGTTAAATAGCAATCCAAATGTGAGTGATGGCTGGTCTGACCATGATGGTGGAGGTTCACTGATAGACCACTACAGGAGCAAACAAATTATTAGGACATTAATTACAGAGTACATTATTATTAGTAGTAGTATTGTTATTATTATGGGGTCCAGGAAAATGAAAAAAAAAAATACATTGGGTTTTTTCTTTGCCTTGTCAAAACAAAGCAGATGGCAGTTGTCAGGGCAGTGTCGACAATTCTCATAGTCCCACACCAAAGTTCAACAACCAAAGGTTTATTTTAACAACGCCCACACGTAAGCAACATTTTTTCCCTAAAATAAATTAAAATATCTTAAAAACAAATATTGGGTGGAAACTCTCTTCCACCCATCAAAATAAGATTTACACAGTAGCCATACCTGACTGGCTTGTGCAGGTTTCTGAGTCACCAGCTCCACCCTCTTGCCAAGAGCTTTCTCCAGTAACTGTAGCAAACTGGGCAGACATGCAGACACATAGTTCCCACCACGATCTAACAGCTGGTCCTCAAGACAGAAACTTGCTACTGTTTTCTTTAGATTTTCTATGTGTGTCAAACTGGAAATAAGTTATACTATCAGAGTGGATTTAAGAAAAAAATGATAAAACTGATATATCCCCTTTATTTTAGATTTTACAGTCATTTTACTTGTCACATGGGACACTTCGTTACTTTTTTCCTGAACGTCATTTTATGGACATTACTGCTGGGTACATCTCTGTTGGAACTTACTGAAATAAGTTGTCAAATTTCCTGATGAAAGGTGCCGGTGTCATGAAAAGGACCTCAAAGCTGTCAACAGCACTGTTTTCAAGAACTTGAATGGCCAGACCGGCCTCATGTTTCACCTAAAATATCATGGTGGTGTCAGTGTATCATTTGAAGCATAGTTGAAAAACCTATGTAAAGGTGAACTAAAGATATACAGTAAAGAACATGCTTTTTAACAAGAATAAAATGGGGGGATATGGTATCAAACACCTTTACCTTAAAAACAATACAAATAATATTTACTCTATTAAACATCTGTCTGCTCATTTCTGCAGTGATATTTATGTAGCCTGTGGGGTCTACAAATACTACTTCAAAGGACTCGTGGAAGTTGGCCAAGTGAGGTCGCTTGGGGTCATCTACACCACATACATCGGCTATACTGATTCCTTCCTTACACCAATCTGATTGTGCTGGAATAACATAATTATGGTTATTAATTCACGTCTTTTAATCACAATCTTTATTTATTAATAATTTTTTTTCATTCAACCATAAGCACTTTCATTCAAAAACCCACAATCTCACTTTACTTAATGTTCTCTAAAACATTTTACCAGTGGTACATAAATATTAATATTGTTCATAAGTGCTTACCAAGACAGAGAAGTGTGTTTCTCATGATTTGATAGCTACTCATTGCAACATTTAATTTTCTCTTCTTCAGTAAATATCCAACATACATGGACAAAGTAAATGGAGTGAAGCAGCCCTGGCCCTGTTATTCAGAGAAAAGAAAACAGCAAAATTAGGGGTAGCAACATATACCATGCATGTTTCAATACAAAGAAGAAAGGTTCGCTTCAGTATCATTTGTCACCCCTCTCTCTCTCTCTCTCTCTCTCTCTCTCTCTCTCTCTCTCTCTCTCTCTCTCTCTCTATATATATATATATATATATATATATATATATATATATATATATTTTTTTTTTTTTTTAAACATAAGATTTGACTGAGCTTGTGAAAATATCTTTTTAACATTTTTCATTCAAACTGCAACATAGGACATCCAAATACTCATTTTACTTCCACTGCAATAAAATCATTCTATAATTTCTGTTCAAAGCACTTAAATCCAAACCGACCTGATCTAACTCTCTCTGATGTAGCCAAACTCTAAGTAGTGCAATCCCTTCCTTCACACCTGCAGAGTCCTCTATGACTTTATGTAGGAAATGGAGATGTTTTTCCAGAGCCAAATCAATCAACACTGACATATTGTAGCGGGGAGTAGCAGGCTGGCCAGATTCTTAAAGCATACACCACAAAAAATGGGTTAATGAGGAGACATAAATATATTTCATATCACAAATATAAAGAATATAAAAGATAAGATGCATATAACACAAAAGTTTACCCTTAATTACATGGTTACTTGTTTAGTACTCTAAACAAGCAAGTTCAATCCCAATTAAGGTTAAAATTGGTATCTCAGGAATCAATTTTACCTTCATCTCCTTCTGTTTCCTTCTCTGAATTAAACCACTGCATCCTTACGTTGTTTTTTTCAATGTCAAACCTGTTCATCTTAAAGGCACCATCCTCTGCAGTAGCATGAATATGGATCTTGACATTTTTGGACAGTTTACCTAAAATATTAAACTTTCATTATGATCATCCAAAATCAAAGTTTTACCTTAATACTAGACATAAAGACAAGTGAAATTAAAAACAAGATGAAACTCAATTTAGTTAAAATGAAACACTTGTTAAAATGTCTAAAATACCTTTTGGTGATACAATTATGATAGGCTTCAAGTAATTTCCATGGTGGTATGAAAACTTCACATCTTCTACTATATCTGTTTGCTTGCTCAAGTAGCTGGCCAGGTGTGTCAGGTACAAAGCTCTCTTTCTTAAATATCTATGGTTTAGATAGTCTTTGGGCTGAATGCAAAGCTGTAAAGGCAAAATGTCACACTCAATCTTCAAATATCTAATTTGCTATCAAATACATTACACACATGTGATCATCCCAAGGCATTAAAAAAATTTTTAATGCAGCCATCCAGTTGAACATGTGATTAAGATCAGCTCACAATGAGAGACCAATCTACATCCCCTGATATCCAGCCCCCTTGTTGTTATCGTCTTAACTCATGATCTATGCCCAATGGCTCGAGTTGCTACAAATCACAATCACATGGTTTGCTAAAATAGCACTGTTCCAAATCAAGCTGTCACAATTAGACTGGAAACTTGTTTTCAAAAGGAAATTCTGCTTTATATTTATATCATGAAAGGCCAATGCAGATATCATTTTGAGTGACAGCATAAAATGCTCAATTCTTCTTAAGAATTTCATATTTAGTTTTACCTTTGGGATTTCTACAGCCAAATCAACAGAAACAAGTGGCTTGATTGCAACACCAAGTAAAAAACTCCCAACCACTTTGACTGATTTTGGTGGAATGAACTTGAACTTTCCCTTTACTCTGAATGGCTCCTGGATGAGAGGAACTTTAATTTTTTTCTTTTCTGTCCATTTCTGGTTTACAAGCTGAAAAAATATCAATATATCAAAGCCATATAGCTAGGAGACAATTAAGACATAAAAAGTGCTCAAATTAAAATTTATATTATCTATTTGCCTTTTAAGGCATAAAATAAATAAATAAATAAATAAATAAATAAATAAATAAATAAATATAATACACTAATTATGACCTCACTATTGCTGGAAATTTAATGTTTACAATAACTTATAAGCATTCTAGTTTAAGTATCCCTACATCATGTTCTTTTCCTCCTGGTGTTTTCATTATTGCATCCTTAAGACTATATAAATATGCTTCTACTTGGTGTTTCTTTTTCTCTTGAAGCATGACTTCTTTTAATAGTTCAGTTATCTAAAAAAAATAAAATGAAATAAAATTTATATATCATCTAATAAAAGCAAAAAATGAACTTGATGTGTAGCTTCTTCATACATTTCGGGTTTTCTACAATATCATTTTGACCTTTGCAAAATTGAACATCAATTACCATTTCCAGGTATTACCAGTATACTTAACAGTATTTAAGTTTTAATGTCATATAAAATCCATAAGCTTTGCGAATCATAAACTGTATATTTAATAAAATGCTACCTTGCTTTTTCCTCTGATTTAGGACAGACAGTTCTACTACCTTGCAATATATACCTGCATTCTGAAAAGACTTGAATGGAACAGATTCTCTGCCTCCTTGAGTTCATTCAGTTCTTTGTTGGTGGGCTGCTTATATAAGACCTCTTTAGATACCTTCCTCATCTTCGGTGGTGGCTGAGCAGTAGCACCATTCTGACCTTTAAAGGATCGGACATCAATATGCAAATTGACTTAAAGTAGTGGTTTAGTTTTATCTAGAAAAATATTGCACTAGCATAAATATCTTGAAAGTATTTTCAACCAAATACATAGTTCTGTAAAATTAAACATGCCTATTTTATCCTGTTCACTCTTCTTCAAGTTTTTCTGTTTGGATTTGATATTGGACATGGCTGCTGAGATGTCATATGCATCTCCCTCATCCTCTGATTCATCTGAAGATCCATTCTCTTCAGAATCCTGTGATATAGAAAAAAAATTATAATTTCAAAGCTGAGAATCACTTCAGTGTAACCAAATTTTAGTCCTCTTTACTCAATTCAAAAGTAAATGCTTAAAGGTACATGTATCCTAACCTTTAAATCGAAATTTTCCTTGGAAAATATGCAATTTTCTCATAATAATTGATAATAATTGCTCGACCCATCCATGTTTTATATAATGCCTATTAAAATTTGGAAGTTTTTTATGTTCTTTAAATCACTTGCGCCGGGGTATGTACAAGTCCTTAAATAAACATAAAGCACCCGAAGCCAAACGTTCCGTGGCAAATTAATACACTATAAATTTAAAAACTATATCTTAGGCTGTTTGAACGTATGGCGCCACATATAGTTCTATTTGGAAATGTATTACGAAGCACTACCTGTGGTTCTTTTTCACTCAGAGCTCGTTTTAGTGGCATTGTAAAGACGTCCCTGTAAATAAACAATTAACAGTACATTTTTATAGCAACACGCTTTCTCAGATGGGCGCAGACATATTGAAATGAAAGCGAGGCAGCCGGTCCTTGACCGCAGTGGGATTTTACTAAGGGGGGGGGGCAAAGATGATTTTTTTCCTCAGCAAAATCAATCAATAAATTAGGGCATTTTTACTGTTATAATATGTACAGCACAGTGGTGGGAAAGTAGCTGTGTTGCTTTGTTTAGTATCGTTTCGCTTGTATATATGTGATTTCGAGGAGAGAAAGAGGATACTGAAATAAAGGTCTCTAGGCACGCGCCGCGTCGGTTCCCCCTGGATATGCCGTACACTTCACAATCACGGACGGACATAAGACTATCGAAATATTTTTCTTTTGTTATAATTGTTTTCAATAAAGTAAAATCATGAATAAAACTTAAAACAACATGGACAACAGGTACCCCCAGTACATACATAATAAAAATTAATTCAATAGACATGATCGATAATGTTTATGATGACTTTTTTAAATAATGAAAAGCTTATGAATGGAAATTCAGTCTGACGAAAGAAATTCAAGTGACACCTTGTCGGGGGATCGAGTGATAAAAACCTTTGATCTAACATATATGTTGGGTCCTAATAAAAACTTGGCTATCATCCAACATGCTAGACAGCCTACGACATTGTGAATAAAATAATAAAAAAAAATCTTTATTGAGCACTAAAATGTGTACAAGTTACATTTTACAGGCTCTCTATCTAATCATAGCAACTTTACAACAACTATAGAAATCTATACAAATACGCATGGAATATGATATTAGGCCTACTGCATGGGAACATTTTTTCTAAACGAGGGAAAACGGAGAAAAAGAATACTAGTACGAAAAACCCTCTCTTCCATGTGTGTTAAAAGGTTATTATGTTTCAATAAAAACGTTTTTTCTTGACAGTTTCATAAAAATGACGCAAAAATAATGACATCGACATGCATACAAAAGGCTAAATTATACAGTACATGTATCTAGGCAAGCAGTGCGTATTTAGAATATAGTGTGACGTCAATATAACGGGTGCGCCCGCGCAAGTGGCATTTCATCAGCCACGTTACGAAGGGAAGCCATCTGTGTTAAGCGTGTTCAGAGGTTTCTAGCTGATTTTGGCGAATTTTATGACTGAAAATGGCAGATCAGACACCAGAAAAAGTTGATTTAGACAAGACCGAGCCAGTTGCTGAAGTTTCGGACGTTGATCTCGATCTTCACGACGACTCTAAGGTGAAATTTGTGAACGGCGGGAAGAAAGATGAAGCCCAAGTTGAAATCGGCGTGAGTGATAGTGCTTCGGTCGACGCCTTTGTTGGGTTGAACAAAGAAGAATTAATGAAGTACACAGATGATCCGTTTTGGGTGAAGGTCCGCTATGTTCTTTTCATCTCATTCTGGGTGATATGGCTGGCCATGCTGGTAGCTGCCATTGTCATCATCGCCATCGCACCAAAATGTCCGTACAGGCCTCCCCTTGAATGGTATCACAAATCCACCGTCTACCAAGTGTATCCCAAATCTTTCTTGGATGGAAAAGGAGACAATGGAGTCGGTGACTTAAAAGGTACTGTATATTTCCTAAGCATTATTTCATATTGAACAGTTGTATACTATTCCCAATACATTTAACCAGACTGACCAGATCAATATTTGCATTGACCCACAGCTAGTCTTACTAAATCTAACATAATATTTTTTATTTTTAGAGCAAGAAATTGTTAAAGTATGTTTCTACTGTGTTCAACATGTATATAACTACACTTAGTCTTACTGGAGCTTATACATGCTGTACATTCCATATGCACATGTGGTATTGTTTATAAATATTGATTTGCTTTGTTGCTAGTGGTCATTCAGTGCTACTTGCATATGCATGTATGGGCCTTTGTTAGCTTCTCCTGAGTCATATTTCTCAGTCCAGGGAGGTAATCATATGCTCCACTGCAGACTGATAGTATTCCCACATCTAATCTAATCTAATAGTCTTGAAGCAGAGTGGTGTATTGATGATATTCTTCACATGGAGCTCAATTTCGTAACCCAAGCCAGATTTATATCCCTGAATAGAGGGCACCTCCTCATCTGAAAGATAAAGATACCTTTCAGCTTGTTATTTGATCATGGATCAAGCTGTGATTTGACTGCTTACTGGTTTTGAACTGAGATAGTGACCAGTGCACTGCTAAATAAGGCAGCATGTTTTTGCACCTGTTGGTCCTCTATAGATAATCACCCTTCTCAATTCTCTTTTTGTTGGACATGTACTTTCAATAGGAAGTATATTTGAATAGAAACAAAAACTAAAAATTGTCATGATTCCTGTTTTAAGGGAATAACAATAGTCTTTTACTAGTTGCTGGTTATCAATCTTTTTATAATCACTTTCAATAGCACATAAAAGCATGTGTGAACTTCTTAATCTGTAGGTTGATTAGAAATTTATTTGTTGATAATGATTTTAAAAGTCCAATTCTACTGTTTTGTAGTAGTATTAGTCGCTGGTATTGTAGAGATGAGTTGTCTTACACCCCATTTCCATAGCTTAGATCGACCTAACTCCCTGGGGGTTCACGCTAAATAGCTGTCAGCCGGGCGGACACGAAAGTTAATTACCCCCTCACAGCTTGTAGTAGGCGGGACGGACATTTAAGTCGGATTATCTGACAGTAATCTAGTGAGACTCCCCGCGGGGATAGATTGATCTAAAATCTATGGGAATAGAGCCTTAAATTAACCATAGAACACCTTTAGTCTTGAATCCCTAAATCTGGCTTTATTTGTTAGGAGATTTGTTAAGACAACACTCATATGTAAATTAAAGAGACTAAATTTTGATAATTTTCTTTTCAGGAATTAGTGACAAGCTGGACTACTTCTTATCTGCCCAGGTTGGAGCCATCTACATCAATTCTATCTACAAGTCGGGCATGAAGGACGGAGGCTATGATGTGGTTGATCACAAGGACATTGACCCTGTTTTTGGAACCATGGCAGAATTTGATGATCTGCTGAAAAAAGCACACAAGAAAGGTATGGATATATGTCTTCAGGGAAATAATATTTATAAAATTCCTGCTTCAGTATCAAGTTTTTTTATTGATATTTTAAAAAGATGGATTTATTGTACGTAAAATATTATTTATTTATTTATTTTTAATGAATGATATATTTTATATTGACAGAACTCAAAGTCATCATGGACTTCATCCCAAACCATACTGGCAAGAACTGCAGCTGGTTCCAGTCTAGTGTGAAGAATGAGTCCAAGTATGATGACTACTACATCTGGCACTCTGGGGGTGGGCAAAGTACACCTCCAAACAACTGGGTATGTGATTGATACTTAACAAGTGTTTATTTGACTGAGGATACTAAGACTTGAGAGATGAAAATAGACTTCTTAGATATGTAATTTTTTAGGGCGGTAGTCATAATTTTGACATAATTGGGCCAATGACAGCTATTTGACTACCTCAGAAATGAAGTCTCTGTATTGTTCTTTAGTTGAGCCGTTATGGTCATCGTGCCTGGACATGGAGTCCAGAGCGTGGGCAGTGGTACTATCACACTTTCTTGCCTGACCAGCCAGACCTTAACCTGAGAAACCCAGAGGTCCAGAAGGAAATGGCGGTAGGTTTTTTTTTTTTTCTCTGATGATTCCAACTTTTCTGTAAATCTACATTTTACCATAAGGAGATAAAAAGACCGACTCCTAAAGAATTATGTAAAGGTAATTTTTCAATATGCATTAATATCATTGACGTGTAGTGGTGATTTCTTGTATGATGGAAATATTGAACTGGCAGTGGGAAATATTTCTATTCTGTTTAAAAATGGTCACATCTTTCAGGACATCTTGCGTTTCTGGCTGAACAAAGGTGTTGATGGCATGGTGGTGAATGCAGCAGAACATCTGGTGGAAGCAACGAGCTTCGAGGACGAACCTGCCAGCAACGAACCTGGCCTTGTTAATGTGAGTGTTCAAAAGAAACCAGTCTTATCTAATATATTTGTAAGCATTTTCTGTTTGTGGAAATAATATAAAGGATGTTTATGTAATGGAGAATAGAAATGTTGCCATATTTAAAAGAAATGTTATTTGTAGTACAGGAGAACCAGGGGCAACGTTTATATAGTCCCCCCCCCCCCCTCCCCTCCTGGTTGCACTCAAATAACCTTATAAGCATGATTCAAGAATGAACTGATTTTAGTACCAATACATATATTTTATTGGTATTTTAGGAATCTTATGAAACCCTGAAACATCTATACACTACTTTCCAAAATGAGTCTTTTGATCTGATTACCAAGTGGCAGGCCATTGTAGATGATGTTTCTACTTCCTCCGAAAAGCCCAGGTGAGTGTCTTCAACTCTCATGGTGGTTGAAAGATGTAATATTCTTAATAGATAATGTAAAATCACTTGCTCTAATACAGAAAGGTATCATCTTTGACGAGAAAAACTGGGTATCTCCATGGTATTTTAGAAAAATGGACCATTTTTAAGTGACTACAATTTCAATTTTTCCCCTCTCTTTTCCAGAGTTCTTTTGACGGAGGCTTATGGTCCAATTGATGAGATGGTGAAGTTCTATAACTTCAACAACAGCAAGGGTGCAAATCTGCCGCTGAACTTCAACTTGTTGTCGATTGACAGGGACTGCAAGGCCAGATGTCTGCATAATTTGATCAGCAGTTGGATGATTGAGAAACCAAGTGATGCCTGGTCTACTTGGGTGGTGTGTATTTGCCAGTGTTATTTATTATTCGTGAATATATTTTTTAGATGATGTATTATTTGATATACATAATATTTTTCTCATATGTTGGATGGGAATATGTTTTGAGGAAAATGTTTTCTTGAGTTAGCACAATACTATATGTATACTTCTCAAAAATCATTTATTCAGGTAAAGAGAACTGTTTTAATGCAAGAATTTATTTTTTAGCTTGGCAATCATAACAGCCATCGTGTGGCTGACAGGAAGGGAGAAAGATACGTCAATGTGTTGAACATGCTTCTGATGATGCTACCAGGAACACCTTTTACCTACTATGGTGAAGAAATAGGCATGAAAGATGTGCAAGTCCCATTTGCCAAGACAGTGGACGAGTTTGGTAAAAGTTTTGGCGAGGTTGGTATATTTATAGTGAATTGGGTTTTATGGAATCTGATATAAAATCATAGGTCATGTAATCTGAAAATTTGACCTACTTGTGATCATAGAATCATTTCTGGTACTGGGTGATTTTCAATCAAACTTTGATTGATTAAAGAATTGATTTCAAAAAGTTGTTTTAATGAATGTGTTATTTTTTTTGTTATGTTTTAGGCAGACTATGTGAACTTCACTCGTGACTTTGAGCGTTCCCCTATGCAGTGGACAAGTGGTAACTTCTCTGGTTTCACTACATTCAGTTCCACTTGGCTGCCTGTTGCATCGAACTACAAGGAAAATAATGTGAAGGTAATGTTTGTGGACTGTCAAGATTGTACAAAAACTCCTATAAAACTGTAACTTAATTCTTGAATTTAAACATGTTTCCATCTGCTGTTTTTATGCTGCATGTTATTTTTAAAAAATCTATTTACATTTTGTTACATGTTTTCAGTGGTCAATTATTACTGTGTAATGGTGTTACTAACTAGAAATTTATTGTCAAAATTTCAGGGCCAGGGGAGTACTGGAGCTGGTTTTACTCCACTGGAGGTGTACACAGAGGTGGCCAAGCTGCACTCTCAGCCCTCCGTTCTCTTTGGGAAGCTTCATTTTGCTGTGGTCACAGAGAACATCCTGTGCTTCCTCCGCAAAGCAGAAGGGTTCCCAGGCTTCCTGGCTTTCTTCAACTTCGGAGACATGGCTGAAGGCGCCTTGACTCTAAGGTAGGGGGCATGAGATATTGATTTCACTGGTTCATATTTTGTTATTTGTTGTTTGGCTTTAGATATTATTTGATTTTACAATACTACTCAATGATAAAATTTTCTGAGGTATAATTCAGTATATATAGACAGAAGCTCAGTGTGATAAATTCAATTGACAATTTTTCTATCGTTTCCGTAAAGAAAACATGTTACTAATTTCAGTGGGACAGCCGACGGTTTGGTTCCCAAGAAAGGCCTGGTGGTGGCCACGTCTGGGAACTTGGCCAACACTGACTACAAAAATGGAACCACAGTGGACCTGAGCAATGTTCACCTGGGACCTGCTCAAGGCATCATCTTCATGTTGGATAATTGATTGATGTTGAATAAATTAATGAATTAACGCATAATTATCTTTAACTAAGCCATTTGCGTTGTTACTGCAGCGGCCAGTAAACAGATTGATTGCTTTTTTTCTCACCTTGTATTTGGTTTTAAATTAATGAATTAACGCATTAATATCTTTTACTGAGTTATTTGTGTTCTTATTACAGCGGTCAGTAAATTGTTTCCTTGTTTGTTACCTTGAATTTGCAATGAGATAAATAAAACTTCCTAATTTGAGCTCTTAAAAATCAATCTCTGTGTGACTTATACATTTCTTTGCAATAGTGGTGCACTTTTTGGAATCGCTATGGAAAAATGTAATTTTAAAATCTGTTGTTTGTAATGTAACGTTATTTTATGTAAATGGGACAAAATCGTGGCCGTGTTGATGCGTGGGTCGTGTACAGAACTTGTCTATCCACTTTCATTTGCCTAGCAGCGAGCGCCAACACGGGTTTGAAATGATTTCATATACATTAAATGAGAAATAGTTGTATGTGATGGATAAAAGAACTGAAAGGGATAGGAACATGAAGACACTAAAAGTGGATGTTGGAAAATGGTGCTTTGTCTGATCTTTTATGGAAGGAGAGCGTGTCCTCTCTTAGCAAAAAAGTTTGACAAGGGCCAGGTCCCCCTACATCAATTTTTCTTGCTACCTCTAATAACATTATTAAAGCCCAGATGGCATTCCAAATTCATACATCGTACTAGCTGGGTTGGTCTCGCTAAAGTGGAATCAGCTTAAATGCCTGACACGCCTCCTCGAGCAGCTAGGGGGTAATAATTTGAGAGAAAATTTTGTTGGTCTCTTCTCCCCATCCTGCTGCTACGTGTGGGATATCACATGCTGATGTCGAGATTTCTACGGCTTTAATTTGTAACTGTCATACAGCTCGCTATAGAATTCTTCGGACTATTCTCATATCTTGTCGCAAAGAAGTTATTCAGGACAGATCGCGCACGCAGAGATGGCGTCACGTTCGAAAGTTTTAAACTGCGCAATCTTCGCGGAAATTCAAGAATTGTGCTTTATTCTATGCATAAGTGCCTACTGAAAAATATGATAGTAATGTTTATTGTCTCTGTGTGATTTACCTGGAAGCAAGGTGAAATGAATGAGGTATACCTCGAAAAGTCGGTAAACATGGGAATTTTTGTCCATAGTAACACAGAAACATTTTGAGATATCCCTTACCACAGATAAGAGAGTGAGCAACTTATTCCCGTCGGTAGGCAATGGCTTTTCACAACACAGAAATAAACCTGCCTTCACACAAGATTAATTTTCAGCATGCTGTGTTTAGATAACCTCATGTGGGGGCCATGGATGAAATTTTAATTTGTCATGTTTTTAGCCGCGTAGAAGTTAAATAAATAAAACGAATATAAGATTTGCAATACATTTGTAAATTACACAAAACAGAAAAATTACGCGTACATGATTCACGTGATATATATGTCCTTGTAAAAGTACAGAAATTTGCTTCTGAGTTAAATGTATTAAAAATGATTATTGCGTCGCATTTGGCCTTTTTAGGCATGGAATGCAGCAACATGTATATTTCTCACAAATAAATACTTAGACTGAAAAACGAGGTAGATCTAAATAATTGCTTTCTTGAAAAACTCAAAAGTACTGTAAAACTCAGCTTGTGATTTCTGTATATCTACATAAAATTAATGATTAATCTACATTAATCAGAAAAAAAATTATTAGCTTTTTGAGATTAATCAAAGCATGGCTTCATGTGGCGCTTTCAAAGTTTAGTGTTGGAACTAATCGGGGTTTTACTTTTAGAAAAACAAAGGCTTCGTTCACATGCAATGTCTATTTTCTAAATTCTATTTTCTATTTGCGGTATGTCTTATGATCACGGTCTGTGGCCTGAATATCCCGCGGCGTAATTACTGGCAGCGCGAGCCAGTTACTATAAGTTACTATAAGTAACTGGCTCGCGCTGCCAGTAATTACGCGGCGGGATATTAAGGGCACAGACCGTGATCATAAGATAGCGCAAATAGAAAATAGAAATTAGAAAATAGACATTGCATGTGAACGAAGCCAAATGTCATTCATTTGATTTATCTAAATATCTAAGGTTTGGGCTCTTTTCTTGAAGGAAGGCACGATGCTTTCGATATTGGGAGGTGGAGGATTCAGTGCAGTGTACAAGGCACTGAAATCACCCAGATAAACTTATAAAGGTGATAATGGGAGTTACCGACAGTAGCAGTGGCATGGTAATACGTCCATGGTAGTAGCAGTTTTTAGTTTAAACAATAGCAACTGAGCTATAGTACCTGGGTGAATATTAATTAATTAATTAACTTTTTATTGTACTTTTTTTTTTACTGATAAGACATTCTACTAACCGTTCAAAATGTTTCACATTTAGTTTACAAACAACCTTGCATTAAAAGTACCAACTTCTGAGGCCTACGCAAGGATCATATACAATGAAGTTTTCTTTATAAAGAGGATAGACAGCAGCTTCATTTAAAGGTGTTTTTTCAGTTGGATACTAATGATTCAAACATCGATTAATATGTAAACTTACACTTGTATGAAATGCCAGCGGTCATTGTAGAATAAGCCAAGTAAATAAAGTACGTTGTTTTTAAATGTTTGGCGCATTTCGTTTGCTTTCAATCATTATCGACTACTTTTTGTAATCAGTTCATAATGGTAATAATGTTAAATTTCATATGTAAAATTACATAAAGGATGTATGAAAATCCCCTTAACTTAACTTTGAAATCTCACAACCTATATTTTACAGTACGATGAAACATCTTTCTGTACAAATTTATTTGCCGTACATCCAATATAAATATATACAGTATGTGTCTTTGTGTGTTGTATTTGATGACAATATAAACTATCGGTTGTATGTGAGAAATATCGCTTCCAGACTCACTCACACGTTTGATGTAAGACCAGGCTTTCCCGTCATGGTACCCGAACTATGCCCAATGGACTGGATATACTCCAGGAGTACTGGGAAAGATTTTTGTAAGCAGTTCTTATTTCTTCTTTCTTAAAGAAGTTCTTTCACATCTTTCTGATTTTATCTTGTTCAATAGTACAAGTTGCAAGAATTGAGCTATTTGATAAAAAAAATCCTTTTTTTCTTAAATGTGTTTTAAAAATACAGTATGTTAACAAGAATCTCATTTTGACAGTTGCTTTGATTTATTTCTTAGGGAAGAAATTCTTCTTCAGACAGTAAAGTAGGCCTATATTGCCACGTGCGTCTGTATGGCTATTGGGCACTTGCACCAACAGAACAAAGGCCATTTTGATTTAAAAACAAATAACGTGCTGATCAGTATGCAAGGGATCCCAAACTAGTGAGCTCATAATATATATATTGTTTTCTAAAATGTTGGAACATTTGGAATATGCGCAACACATATTTTAAAACGGAAGGCCAAACACCCCGTTTTTTCTTACAGTGTGATCTAGGGTCCATTCACCTTCTAAATGGGGCTGGGGAGAGCATCCGTACGGTGCAGTTAATGAACTTCACCCTTTTTAAGAACATGATTCCAGAGGTACTGAGGGGTGGCGCCGCCTCGTGGAGAGCAGATCACTACGCCTTGAGTGTCATGTTGTTTGAATTAATGGAGGGAAGGTAAGAAAACAAAACATCCATTATGTGCATTATTCATAACTGCTCATCGTGAAAATGGGCTCAATTTTGATGATGAACTATTGGGCTACAATGAAATGTGAGTAGTTTGAACAGGAAAATCAGAATATTGGAAAAAATGGCTTGCCATCATCAATGATCCACGGAAATTCCCTTTCCTAAGTTGGCTGAAAGGACCTTTGCATGTAAAGTTCATATTCTTTGTTTCTTTTCTGTTTTTTTTATACAGCGATAGGTCGTTTTCTCCTCCATTCCCACTGCTCGGAAGAAACGGACGTGTCGTAAACAAAGTCGCCGTAAAACAAGGCGACCATAGTCTCATGGCATCTTTTGTCACCAAAATTTATATGACAGTCACGAAAGACCGTCACAGACAAAGTAAGAAGATCGTCAACGGAATCTTGAAAAATTTCCATTTAGGGCGCATGCATAATTCACGTGATAGATATATCCTTAAAAGGCAAAACATATTGTGACGTCATTGGCCCGTGCCGACGTTACTAGGCAGCACAAAAGCTATTGGAGAAATGCTGCGCGCAAGCGAAGTGAATACGGCGATTTTCTTTTGAGTAAAATAGACGATATTAACAATGATCGTTGCGTCTCATATGGCCTTTTTAGGCATGAAATACAGTTACATGTATATATTTCACAGAGAAATATTCAGACTCGAAAACGAGGTGAGATATTGCTTATTAGCAGAACAAAAATCGAAAACCCGGTTGTTGGTTTCAATATATCTAGATCTGTACATAACCCCCAGTACAGCTATTTATTACTTTGTTTCTTATTAATCAAAATCAGATTCCGATGTGGCATCTTTAAGTTAAGTTCTAGAAGTAGTCGGGCCATTTTATTTAAGTATCTATTTTACTAATTTTGATAGTTTCACTCGTCAAGAATATTAAATTTAAAACGTAAGTCCTGATAACGAGGAACGAGATTTCAATTACTTCATATCGAGGATATGCTCAGATTTAAACGAATTTTAATCTACAGTTTTACACTTTTTTATCAATTTCACTTTATTCAATTTTAAAGGTTCGGGCTCTTTTTTGGAAGGAAGACACGATGCTTCCGATTTTGGGAGGTGGAGGGTTCGGTGCAGTGTACAAGGTATTGAACTTATCATGACAAAACAAACAAAAAGTGATACTGGGATAACGGGAGTAGCAATGGTAGCACTTGTAACGTTGGTACACACAGGCATGACAGTATTTATAGTTTTAGATTTTTAAAGCAGTAGCAGCACAACAATATATGTTTACAGTGATTAATCATGTACTAATTTTACATTTTTATCTTTGCAACTATTATTTACGGATGTGACTTTCCACTAACCGATCGAAATATTTTACGTTCAGTTCAAAAACAACCTAGCATTAAAGGTGCCAACCTCTGAGGCCTATGCAAGGTTCATCTACAGTGAAGTTTCTTTCATGAAGAGAATAGACAGCAAATTTATCTTAAGGTGCTTTATCAGTTGAATACGAACAATTTTGAAAATATGTTGATTACAATTATCAACAAATTTCACAATAACATAAATTTCATGAATATAAGAACATATTGGACGGATAAAAACGTCATAAATGGTAACTGTAAAATCTCTATTATATATCATACAATGAGTCTTAACTCTGTAAAGATTCAAAATTTTTCGTCAACCCGATATATATTTGTGTAGTTTATCTGAGTCTGATATGAGAAATTCCCGTTCCAGACTAGTTCACTCCTTTAACGTTCGACCTGGCTTGCCAGTTCTACTTTCGGAATTATGCCCTATGGACCTGGAAATTCTCCAGGAGTACTGTGAAAGATTTTTGTAAGTAATTATGTGACTTTCTTATCTATTAATAACCCTTTCATTTTTCTCTAATTTTTATCTTGATGGATCTTAAAAATATCTTTTTCATAAGAAATACGTTGTTCAAAATACTTTTTACCTTAATTGTTGACCAAAATACAGTGTAACATACTGACAGTTGCTATAATTTATTTCTTAGGAACAAAGTTCCTCTTCAGATGGTGAAGTATATAGCCACGTGCGTCTGTATGGCTATTGGGCACTTGCACCAACGGCACGTAGCCCATTTTGATCTAAAAACGAACAACGTCTTGATTAGTCTACACGGGATCCCTAAACTGGTACGATGTTCGCTTTGTTGTAACTCAGTTTGTCTATCTGATTAAATAATTTTAGATTATTGGTCAGAGTCTGTTCTAGCTATAACGTTCCTTGGTTGGGTCTGATTTCGGATACTGTCTCGCTCTTCGCTAAAGCTCGGTTTTACCCTAAAATAACTGTACATGTGTCACAGATGTGTAATAATCTGAATGAAAACGTAATGACTGGTAAAAAATAATTTTGTATTACATTAATAAAAGAAGACTTTGGATGTAAAGAACACTTTCATTTTGGTAACCAGAACATTCCCTTTTTTATTTAATTTTTAAATGCGGAGTTCTTTCTTCCAGTGTGATCTAGGGTCCGTTCACCCTCTAAACGAAGCCGGGGAAAGTATCCATGGGGTGGAGTTGATGAACTTCACCCTCTATAAAAACATGACACCAGAGGTACTGAGGGGTGGCACCGCCTCGTGGAGGGCCGATTACTACGCCTTGGGTGTCATGCTTTTTGAATTGATGGAGGGAAGGTAATAAAAAAAGATACAGTTTTGTGAATAATGACTGAACTGTTATTCATGCCAATGGTACTGACAGAAAATATTAGGCCAAAATAACATCCCTTCCTTCTTTAGAGCTGCTAGTGGTATGAACAGGAAAATAAGAATGTAGGCAATAATTTTTCCAAAAAATACTTTAGAATTTTATAATAGTAGGGAGTGTTGTAAAGCATGAATAATTTTAGTCAATTTATTTAGACACCCACTTTGGACTGAACTGCCAACTAGAGCAGAAGCCAGAAGAAAAATCCTCCAAGGCACCATCATCTACACAGATACAGAGCAAGCCTTCAGGGATCTGATTGACAGATTAGTCTGGTAGGTAATACTATAGTATGACGACAGGCAATGGTTATTCTGGTTCAAAACATTAGCTTTAGATATTTTCCATAGCTATGAAATACCATGGACAACTTTAAACCAACATAAGCATCGTTCTGGCTGAGATACATGTACACAATGCACTGAATCGTTTTAACTTTTGTCCTCCCTCCTCCACAACTGGTCTTACATTGAACTATTTACTCTGATTGAACTGTTTCTCACTATTTCGTTTCAGCCACGTAGACCAAAGAATTGACAGCATGACTGGTCTTTTAAGTCACCGGTACGAATATTGTAGAATTTTTTTTCTAATTCTGGTTGCTTTGAGATCTCATTGTAGCTGACGATTTTATTTCAGTGCTCTCTCTTATTTTATAATTTTGTTTAAATTCATTTTCACGTGTTTATTTTTTTCTATTTTAGTCTGTTCACCTTATCCGTTTGTATATATTGATCTATCTTAAACAATTTTGTCGATCATTATATTATATTATATTATATTATATTATATTATATTATATTATATTATATTATATTATATCAATGCAGCTGGCTCTGTGACTACTACGTGAATAATTTTCCAACCGATATGGTCACCTCTCCCATTTTAGACATTGCTCAGGTAAAAGCCCGCGTATACGCCTTATTTACTACTGTCATCTTCTAACAAAGCAAATACTCACTTATTGCTGAGAGTGACATTTGACCACCCTGAGCTTCAGAGATACCTTGACACGATGAAGACAGGCTATAGTGAAGAGGTTAGTGTCAAGTTAACTCTGAAGCTCAGGGTGCCTTTGACGGACTTTATGGAATTTGTGTATTTATATAATAAGTCAATACATCCACATGCCGTGAAAGTCTGTATGAAATTACAAAATTGGGAAGTATATTCTGTAAACGTACACTAAAACATTCCATTCATGTGATATTGAGATATACTTTATTGTCTGACTATATTCAATGTTTTCTTATGACAGGAGGTGTCGGCGGAAGAACAGCTGGAGATGGGTCCCTTGACAGCAAACAGCAGCGTCCGCAATATCGTTGACAATGGCTAGAGGACTGCTGCAAACCGCCAGCTGCTTCACTACTTCCTTGCCCGTTTTTTTATGATTTATTTTGAAGCAGTCATCTCTGTGCAACTAACTGTTCATTTCACTACAAATATAGAACTTATAACTTTACAACTGTTCAGAACTATGCACCACTTTTATATAAAAATAAATGATAAGTGATATAAATTTAATTTGGATTTGGCATAAATAAAATTGTTCTTTACTGGCCAAATATCAATTAATCTATATATTGCGTTTGTCATTAGTCATTTATCGTTTATTGATTATGATATTGCACGGGATACAGGAGATATTAAGAATAACCGTAATTTTTTAGTTGTCCCAATCCGTTGTCTGCCTTTCCTCCAAGACGCAAATTTTCGAAAAGTCCCAATTTCGCTACTTCTGCACGCACTGAGACAAATGGCATTCAAATAAATTTCGAATTTTAGGAGTCACGGGCTGATGAGGTAAAATGCACAAGAACTAAAAACTGCTTACAGTGCTAAATGTTTACTATTGATAGAAATGATAAAGCCCCTCAGGTAGTACTTGATGTCGACTGGCGGGTTTAACCTTACGGAAAACATTTAAAACTTAATTATTGAATTAAAAATGACATAAAAACAGCGAATATAAGTGCAGAAACGGGTCGAGAAATGATGAGTTGGGTAAAATTCTTTCAAGGAAATTTCGCATATGATATCTTTATTAAAATTGGCTCTTAAAATTACTTGATTAGTTTTATGATTTAATGATATAATTTTGTTTATATTATAAAGCGCAGTTAAAGAACAAAATTTTTACTTCCAAATAAACCTTCCAATCTGTATTAAATGTCCGTTTCATATTTTAATATTTATTATATTTCTTCCCAGTAATGTTAGCTTTCTTTACTCTCTGCTTATATCTTATGTTGGATCCTAGCTAAACGATACTTGGAAGGTATTCTATATACGGGATTTTCGTCTCTTTCTGGTACTCGCGAATCGTTGGTCGACCCGTCCCTGAAATAAATTAGTTCTAAACTAATCGTGACATTTTTGAAGGAAATATTATAACAACATTAGGTTTATTTGGGAGATAGGCATGTCTGAATTAAAAAAGATAAGTAGCTTTACAGGATGTTTAAACATAAAAATATGACTTTATGTCATTTTAAATCACGCAGACCCATAGAATACAATAAAATACGAGAAATATTGTCAAAAATCCATGAAAAGTAAATGAAGAGCACAAGGGGTCACCATTCCAATCTTCTGAATATTTCAATTTAGTTATACCACGCAAAGTACTAGAGTTCACTAGAAAATCAGCCCTATATTATCTGTAGGACTCTGCCGTTTACAGTGTCCGTGCAGGGGCATGCTAACAAATGCTAAGGCGAGTAAACAAACTACGCCCTGCTGCGCACCTTATTATCCATCAGCAATCTCGTCTTGGTTAATGTGTTATTAGCATCGATGACATACTACGATTCTTTGGTCAGGCAAGCATCTTTTGAGGTATATTCACATCCTGTTTGTTTAAAAGTGGTTTGAAATTAAGGAAGATATGTCATTGGAGACCGTCCCAAAAGACCTGAGAAACTTAAGAGCATGTTTATTATGTTCTCTTGTAAAGGTAAGTAGTTGGAATCAAAGGTTTCTTTTCCATCTGCTCGTGGCTAGCCGAGCCATTGTCTCTGAACTGTGAGTAGTGTTCAAGCCTTGCACAAAATATTACATGGCTGCATACAGCGAAATTACAACATTTTAAATAACATCTTACGAATTTAAGCATGATTATAATACTCACTGTCTGCGATATAACTTTTAAAAACATTTAATCATTTGTTTCTGCTCCCTATTGTTTTCAGACATTTGAGCAGTTTGAGCGTGATGGCTGTGACAATTGTGAGGAGTACCTGCACATGAAAAATAACAGAGATGCTGTATACGACTGCACAAGTTCAAGTTTTGATGGGTAAGTTTGTGATTATTTGTCACTGTAAGTTGTAATTTATGTTTTAATTCTGAAAATGATTGGTATTTAATTTATAGTTATGAAGTAATAGGAAATTTATTGTAAATTGAAGTACATTTTATGTTGTAGGACTTAAGCATGTAGATATTTTTACTATTCAAAGTAGTTTTTTTTAAAGATTTAACAATTATTCATTTTTTGTAGGTTAATTGCAGAAATGGGCAATGAAGACAGTTGGGTTGCCAAGTGGCAGAGGATAAGTGAGTATCACAAGTTACCAATGTAACCAACCAATGCTTTATGCCATCAGTCTGTCTCAAAATTAGCTCAATATGTCACATCTGCAGTGTTTTTCAAATATTTTCCAGTTATATAAATATATAAAAGTAGCAGGACAGGATAGATTTGAATAATACTGCAATGTAAATATGAATTTCAGATCGTTTTGTGAAAGGATGCTATGCAGTATCAGTGACTGGACGGTTGCCACCAGGGATAGCAAGAGAACTAAAAAGCAAAGGCATAATATACAGATCAAGAGACACCAGTCAGAAGACATGATAACGTCTGTCTGAGACTTAATGGTGGGGACTTCGTAGCAACATGTGGGAACTGCCAATTGTGGCAGGAACTGAAAATCTACACAAAGACATATTGCCAGAACTGTGTACACTAGTCTGTGGGCAAAAGAGTTGGTTGATGTTGAGATAGGATCGTAGTTCTGGTATTAGTATTATACTTTTTTAAAGCCTTGGAATATAATTATTAGTCTCAAAATTGGATTCTACTGCAGATAAGGATATCATTCCAATTTGAAATGCATGGCTATGTTCAATTTTTTTCAACTGATCAGCTGTGACCATAAGCCTAATGCATAGAGAAAACTTCCAGAATAGCACATAATGTTGCTAAATTTCTAGAAATTATTATATTTTTTCTGGAAAGGTTCACAGATGACCAATACTAAGGGATTTGTTGTTGTTACTGTCACTTTATAACAGCTGAAGCTGGATGTTAATGAAGTAACAAAAGTCAAGTTTCTTGGTGTTAATTAAAAGACTGAATAAAAAGCTAATGATATCTTCTTCGTTTTAGTACATAAAAAAATTCTGGTTTTACTATAGTTATTGTGTCCTTATTATATCTATATCCTAGTTCTACAACTGACTTTTCTTGATCTGAGCAACTATTTTCCGCATACTTCTGTCAGCAGCAGCAATATTTTGTTGAATGACTTTCTTTTCCAAATCTAGGGCTGGACGCACTGACACACATTTAAATGTAGTTCCATCATTATTGAGGCTTCCTACACACCTAAAAAAGAAAACATAATTTAAGTGCTGTGTTAAGTTTAACATTTAAAGGATTTCATTGTTCTCAACTGAAAGAGAAATTCCATGATTATCATAAGTAATATGGACTGACACAGTCACTTGACCTGAAGAGAGAACTGTTTACCTTGTGAAATTACCTCTCATCAACAAATACAAAAATTATCTACTTAATTCAAAGAATGAAATGTACCTTAGCAATTGTCCCCTGATCAACCTAGGGAGGGGGCGGTCCTAAATCGATATTTGTACACGTTAAAAGTCAGTCATTAAATGTGCATACTGGTTGCCATATTGAGAAGACAGATGAAAGGACAAATAATCATTGAACTCAACAATATAAATAAAACATTATTTTGAATATTGAATTTTTTTTTATTATTTTCAACCTTTTAGGTAAATTTTACAGGAATAAAATATTCTTACCAGCTTACTCATTAATGTAATAGTAGCACTGTGAAAAGGGTATGAAATAAAACTTGTGGCAATTTGCCGCTGATGTTCACTTACTATTTCATAAAATGTGCATAAAATTCTCTGCTTGCAGTCTTTCATTTCAAATGTTTTCCCAAGGTTGTCTGGGGTCGAAGATATGGCGGAGTCCAGATGAGCTGAAAAGGGCAGAACTGTTTACATGTAGCAAAAAAAAAAAAAAAAAAAGAAAAAAGAAAAAAAACACAGACACACAAATAATAGAATGTTTTATCAGTTAATATAATTACAGATTGTTCCATGTTTTACATAGTTTTCTATGCCTTTGAAATGGCATAATAAAAACTTAACCACAGAAATTACCAGCCTACCATATATTTCAAAGATAAGAGGAATGTCCTTTTTATATTGTGACCAATGCTTCATGCCTTCTATGGTGGCAGTTAGGATCTTTAAACTTGTGTCAGGTTGAACAGGCTTGTACAATTTGGTATCAACTGCTTCATTTTCTACTGCAGCTAGGCTTCCATATGGTGTCTAGTTAAATATGAGAAAAAGTAATGCTAGTTACATTCATAGGCCATCTAGAAAAAAATCTCAGAAAGCAATGGCAGTATGGGCCATGTATTCAACAAAAACTTGTTACTGGCATTAATCCTTCATCAAATTATTTGTTAAAGGTACATACGAACCGAGCATCAGTGGTGCGTGGATTCCCAGTAACACATGTAAACCACTTCTACTTGATTCTTATATGACTCAAATAAATTTGACATGCCAAGATATAAACTGAATAGATCACTCGATCAGCCATAAAAGACCTTTAGACTGCTCCTGTCTTTAAATTTATGGTTGTAAATTTAACCTACTTCCGTGACCTACATTCCTGCCCCATTGACATACAGCTTAGAATGCCAGCAGAAAAATCTGTTCAAACATCATTTTCGGGTAAAATTAAACGATGCCTTTTGGTAATTCTCTCAGTTATACTACTTGAAACTATATGCTGGCATTTGGTTGGTTTTTGTGACAAAAAATTGACTTTGTATGTATCTTTAAACATTTTCTGCACATTTAGCTCAAACAATTTCTCACATAAAGATCATCAATCTTTTCATAGAAATAAAATGTTTTATTAAAATTCTGTGTATCTTAAGACCCCTAAAAACCACAATTCAACTTTTTACTGTAAGTAAATGCTTACATAACAGCTGCATTAGATTTAGGCACATACCTGTTGAGCAAATTGTTGAAATTGTTGTCTTCTGTTTGCAGGTGGCATACATGGCAAACCATATGAGTGTGGCCTTTTCTGTGGACTGGGTTGAATTTGTGGCCTTCCATACTCAGATGGCATATGAGGCATACCATATGGCTGCTGTCCTTTTAGTGGACTTGGGTGAACAGGGTGCCCACCACCACCACCATCATGTTTTGTCACATGTTGCTTACTGCCATATGAACTTGGAACAAGTCTGAATGAAACAAACTACACATTGTATAACCAAAAGGGAAAATGCATTTTCAATGTAACTTTATCTGGAATTTTAAAAAAAGATGTATTTTCAAATAAGTGAAAAAATTAACTGTATTTGATGAACAAAAATGTTACCATGAAAATTGAATTAATATGTTTTCTGTGAAATGTTTTGTGGTTTGTGTTGTACCTTCTATCCTGTGTTGGTGGATTTTTCTTTAAGTTGTTCATTTTTGAACTTGTTTTTTGGAAACAAAAATTAATGAAAATTGAATTAATATGTATTCTGTGAAATGTTTTGTGGTTTGTTTTGTACCTTCTATCCTGTGTTGGTGGATTTTTCTTTAAGTCATTCATTGTTGAACTTGTTTTTCTGGGATAAGGCATCAATCCTGATTTGGTCTCTTGGGCATAGCTTTTCTTTCTTTGATCCTGTTGTATAAAACTCCTTCTGGTTGTATGGCCAACTGTTCATGCCAACAGATTTATTTTTATTTTTTACTTTATATATATATATATATATATATATATATATATATATATATATATATATATATATATATATATATATATATATATACCCCAGTACTACTGTTAGTTCAAAATGTTTTATTAATGAAAACATATAAGCCTTGCAACTATAAAAATTGGTGCATTACATTTTTTATCTACATGATTATTTATCTCCCTGTAACTTATGGTGAACTAAAATATCCAGTTTAGGTTCTGAGAACAACTTGAAATTATCAACTTACCTTGATTTTTTTCCAATTCCCCAAAATAGTCAGTATTTGGCCATTTATATTGTTTTTGAGGTGCCATTTGGCTCTTATTGTTCTGCATATATGCCTGGCCACTTGATGCCCATGGCCTCATTTCTTTTTCACCTTTTATGAAATATAAAATATCAATGCTGTGATTTAGATTGCATTTTTAACCATTTACGTTATGCATTTATATATAACCCATCTAGTTATATTATGTGTGTATTTTACTGAAGTGATACTGCACAAGTAGAATCTACCGTGTTTTTCACAAGTAATAAAATATTTGTTACAATGAAACAAAATGTGTTTTCTCACCAGCTCCAATACCCAAATTATGTTCCATTGACTGCAAAGCCTGTCTTGGCCTCTTTCGTTTGTTAAAAATAGGTGCGAAAGTCATTTTCCTGCCGAATTAAGGAAGCGTAGATCTACATAAATTTCCGTGCACAGTTACTCTCTCTTATCGTCTGCAAGTACAACACGAACATTCTTCCCTCCAAACATTAAAGAGTGAAAATTCCCTTGAAAGACGTTCTATTGACGTATTCTTACTGAAATCAACCAAACCACCTCATCTCCCTTTTGATATCTTTTAAGTAAAAATAATCTCTTTGTTAGTTTTCCTTTTTCATGTCTGGTAGTTTTTCCTAGATTTTAAATGAAGGGTCAAGAAGCAAACAATGGAGGAGGAGGTGGGGGGGGGGGGGCACTATGGGCCATGCTAAACTGCATTCCGACAAAGTTTGTACCTAGTTTTCTCTTCTACAGCCAGAAACTAGCAGTAACGTATAATATGAATATCAGGGTAATTTTCTTGACTGATTGGCACAGATTAAAGGAAATGAGACGTCCATGATTGGATAGACATAAATAGAAACTAGACAGAAAAGCTTGCAAATATAAAGACACTAAGCCAGCAATTTCAAAGGAGTGTTCTTTTCTTTAAAAAAAAAAAAAAAAACAGGTCTTTTAGTCTTTTTCCTCCTTCTTTGACCCAAATTGAAAAATTGGAAGAGAACCTAGACCAAAACTTGGTTTATGAGAGTTTATCTTTTGCCAGCCATAAGCTAGGTTGGTTCTTTCAAATCCCTTCCCCATCACCTCTCCTGCCTACGGGTCTGAAAGGCAACAAATTTAACGAGAAAAGGGGAGAGAAAGAACAGCCTTATGTCGTCAGCAATGGACATTTTTTTTTATATATATTAGATGGCTGGACCTAAAGCAGTGAGTATACATAACCTCTGTTATTATCATGCCTGCAAGTTTCCAGAAGTTTGGAAATAGACAGGTGTTCTGATAATAAAGGTCAATTTTCAGTAATCTCTGAAACTCATGGTGGAATGACATAGGTCAGAATTCAGTTCTTATCTTAAAACTGAGTCAAATGTTCCTTTTATGCCGGCTCTTCCATACATACTTAGTAAGTCGATGGACCAGAAAAGATCCAAAGGGAACAAACTGACTAGGAAATTTTTAATGTCTTAGTTCAATTTGGGCCTTTGAAACTTTCTCCATTTTCAAGGTGGCAAAATTGACCTTTTCTTTAAAAGGGATCTCCCACCCCATCCCAAGATCAACCTCCTGTAGGAAAAGCAATAATATAAAAACACAAATATTTATTTATAACAATTTTATATCTATTCATATTCTTATAATCATTCAGTTTTAATTAAATATCAACATTAGCACATGGTACAAGCAATAATCTCATTCACTCTTCTTGTCATCTTATGACGTGTATTACACATCAAGTAATCACAGTTACTTTTTAAATGTACCTTTCACAAATGACAAAACACTGTCTTAACAATAACAATCATTATATTATAGAAGCTGTTTAACAAATAGCTACTTTTTGTCCTGAAAATTGAATGTTCAACTACGATTTTTTTTTAAATTCAAACAGGCTTATAACTCATAATAGTAATGAAAAAATGCAGGGAAAAAACATTAACTGTAATGCCAATTTCTAAATTTTATGAAGTCCTGTATTGATTATAATCATGACATACTCATACGATGTATGGCAAAATCTTACGTAAAAGAAAAATAAATGTTTGTTAAGTTGCCTATACACTTTAAGAGAGTGGAAGAGACAACAAAATTAACAGATATGCGTAATATTAATTCAAGTTGTTTTGGATGGTGTTTGATGTTGGTTACTTGTCTTCCAAGTAATGAAAACAGACAACAAGACTGAACAATCAGTACAATCACAAGTTATCAAACTTAATACAAAAATATTTCCACTTGAACTACAATTGCAAATCAAAACAATTACTTTTAGATCTTCAGTCTTTGTCTGCTAATTAACAAACTAGAGATCTATCAATAATAAAATAACCTAAAAAGTGAGTTAATCTTTAGACCTGAACTAGACACTTGTGTATTATGGCTGGAATTTCATATACATATACCGTGATAAATATACAAAACATTTTAAATCGGATATCATGTGAAATTGATTGCTAGTTTTAAAATGTCCAGAGGAGGAATTTTTAGTTCAAGGCCAAAGAAAGATGCTATTTAAAGTTCTCAGGTCTTTCCTCTCTGAACTTCTGGTGGGTTTTATTCATGTTGCATCATTGGTGTTACTTCTTTGCATATGGATCCAATGTATAACTCAAAGGCAAGTCTGAAATCCATCAATGGGCAATATTAAAAAATTTGATCAAAACAATAGGGACAGGATTATTGGTGCAAAATACATAAAATATCAATTTAACTTACATTTCCAATTATCATCTTATTATGAGCTCAAATTCATGCAACATGTATATTTGAAATATCCCACATTCCTTGCTAATCAACCATCTACCTATAGATAATTAACAATGAGACCTTACTTGTACCTTGAATTCTTCACAAAAAATACCATTTATTACCTGTGGTTCAGTTAATATTCCCTGATTTCTGATTTTCTGGAGTGGATTCTTTATTCTGATCAGTAACGTCTCTAACAATCATTTGAGCAATCTGCCATGCCATGTCTTCCTGAGCCTAGTGAAAAGAACAAAATCATAGGAATCATCATCAGCATAATGAAGTTGATATTACATATTCAATTTCTATCTAAAATAACATCCATTGCTTTAAAACTTGCTTTTTTATGCATCTTTCAAGAAGAAGCTAAATAATGTACTAGTTACAACACGAGTCGTCCACTGTATGTGACATACAAGAGTATAATTATATTGAGGCACAGCTGAAATATAATTTGCTCTTGTAAGCCGCATTCGGTGGGCATCAAGTAGTTGTAACTGACTTTTATCAGGATTTGTGCTTCGAATAATAGGATGAATGCACCAAAGCATATGAAAATACAGGCAAGCCTGAATGCAAAACACAAGACTTAGTGCAATTATCCTATTGTTTGAAGCGCCAGTTGTGGTAAAAATGGTTTAATACATTGTTCCATCACTTCCTACCTTGTCTTTTTCTTTCCTCTTCTTTCTCCATCTTGACTCTAAAAAGGAAACAGTTTCTTTCAAGTTTGAAATGCAAAACATGGGGCAGCGAGTTCTAAAACTTTGTCATCATTATCATCATATGTTTAATAAATCTTCAAACTTGTATTGCTCCTTTTGCATTGTATATTACTAAATCTGATCTTACCTTTCTTTTTGTCATGGTCAGGTTCTGGTTCAAATTCTGAGACAAACTGCCCAAATTCATCCACTTTCCCAAGAGACATAGTACTGTTGAACGAAATAAAATATAGTCAAAAATTTGAATGTAAATAGGATGAATTCGTCAACTCCCATAATTAAACAATTTAACAATCTTATCTTGGAATCTTAAGTACAACGATCCACTGATAAATATCTCCTTGGAATAATTTGGCCTATCATTCCATCTTACATCTAATTTGACGAGAAAGTCATATACATCTCAACTAACTTGGCATTTGTCCTTGTCCATAAGGGTACATCAGGGTTCAGTGTATTAAAATCTATCTGTATATCATCAGTGAATTTGTTAAATGCTTTCTGTTGCTGGGACCCTGTGGCAAGAAGTGTGTTCTTTGTGTTCACATCCCCTCCTGTGCTATGGCTACCAATGCTGTGAGTGTCTGAACTAGCATCACTTCCTAAATGAGAAAGTGACAAAATGCATATAAGAAATCTCTAGTGTTCTCTAATCATATTAAATATGTCAAAAATACTGTAAAGAGATCTCTTTATTCTTTTCATTTTTTGAAAATTAACTTTTGTTTTTTGAAATTAACTTTGGGCATTACAAAGATATATAAATTTATACATCAATTTCTTAAACTTTTGGAACACACAACTTGCTTAAGTGTTTGGAGGCATGCAATTGTTGTAGTTAAAACAACCACATAGGAATTTAGACAAAAATTTCGAACTCAAGTACAGAAAAACTTAATTACCAGTGCGTTTCTTACGAGTTTGCGGGACTTGATCATGGTTAGCTTGGATTGTACTGATTAACTCAGATAAGTATTTGTAGTACAATTCACTCTTGTGAAATTGTGGGAAATAGTTCTGGAAAGAAAATTAACTTTAATTTTTGAAAAAATATATAAGTGATTTTAAACTTTTCAGGGATCAATCTTTTTAAATAAACCAGTTTTTTCAAAAGACCACTCTAAAATTGTGTATCATATTAACAAAGAGTTCATCATATAATGTGAATTCCAGGCTTAAACTATGTATTTGTTTTGTGGGTAACTTCAGAAACTGATAGTGTTAAACTTATATTACAAACTAGAGGATCAGAGAGGCGATACCGCCTCCGAATATTGTACCACCAGCTGGAGCAAGCGCATTCGTACAGACCCCCACATACACAAAATAAGGAACACAGCCACCAGTCTTGTGCTTGACAAGCTGTAAAAATGCAATCAACAAGAATTTTCAAAATATGCNAACGCTGGTGGTACAATAATTTATATAATCTGCTTTCTTTTAGGCTTACCTTTTCTAGTGATAGAAAGACTATGCCTTTTGGCCAAGCAAAACAATCAGGCAAAGGACCACCTTCCCTGCATATATTGGATTCAACTTCAAACCGCACTTTATCATCAAACCCAACTTGACAAGTAGCTTGCAAGGAAAAGTATCTGAAGAGAAAAAAAATATTCATGAAAAAATAAATCAACTAGACATTGAAGACTTACAAACTGTTTTAGCTGTAAAACATAGCATTATGTTTTAAATACAGTGAGGAAAATCCTGTTTTATGTAGTAATTGAAGTTCAATTTTTGGACTATTTAGCAAATAAAAAAGGGTATTTACTCACAAGTTAAAACATTACTGGCATTACCATTATAATTCTTTTGGAAAAAAAAAAAGAAAGAAAAACTTGCTTGTCATATAGCACCATGGCATCTGCTTGTGCTTCCTGCCCATCATACTGCCCATGCTGGGATGCTAGGTGTTGCTGAAAGTTATCCAGAGCCAGATACAACTGCAGCAAATCCATGGCACCTTCTTGTTCCATATACTGAAATTAACAATTTGTTGAATGAAGTTGCAATGGTGCTACATTTTCAAATTACACATTGTACTGATTAACTCAGATATAAGTATAAATATTCTGAAAATATCTTGAAAGACGAATAACAGTCACACACTGATACTTGCACCTAACTATTGAAATTACTTGATCTTTTAAATGGGCAAAAATTATCAAGCTTTCCAATACATAATATAATCACAAAAAAAAAAAAAAAAAAAAAACATTTCTACATGGCATTTGTGGTGCTTTTACTGCATAGAAGTGAACTTAAGAGCAGCCTGCTTTTTAATTTATTGTTACCACTCAATAAAAATAATCTAATTTTAAGAAATTATTAATTAAAAAATACACTATCTGTAAAATCCACAATTTTTCCTATTGAAATCATCATGATGTCTCCTCAGGTCACTCAGAATAACATTTGAATTGTATGAACATTTGCTCCTGTAAATGTACATACTATAATGTCCCAATAAAAATAAATATGCCTACTACTATCATTTTTCATGCAATAATCACTCTCTCACCTCCATAAAGTAAAACATAGCAGTGTCATTGTACAAAATATCTGCCAAGTACACATCTCCACTTGTTAAAACATCTATCTGGTGTTTACAGTGAAATTCACTTCTGAGGAATTCTGGAAAATACCTGAAAATAAATTTATAAATAAGATAACTATAAGCTTTTACCTGCAATTTCACTAACAATAAGTGTTTTCTAATGGAAACTTAATAAAAAAAATCAGACAGGATTTTGCACTAGCTGAAGGAGGGACCAAAAAAACTGGCAAACAAGCAACTGCTGGCAGCAACTAATAAAATTAAAAGCTTACAAAAAATTTATTTTCAAATATTTCTTTAGTTGTGTTGAAATACAGTCTATTATTGTGCTTATTTCTCTGGAGATGTTCAAATATCTACTAGTATGTGCTTACTCTGTTTCCATGATCCCTAGTATTACTTCTTGGCACTGAATAAAGCAAAGAGGGTCTACATGTCCATCTTCTCTACAAATTTTGCCTGAAGTTAGATAGTGCCATTATTTATATCATCTATCATATCCATTTCAAAATTGTAGTCAAATCATTTGTTATAATATTAATAAATTAACACATAAAGTCTCATGATGTAATATCTTAAATCTGATGTGTGAGGTTAACAGATGTGAAAATACTGCAAAATTTCTCAATAATATCTGACTGCAAGGGTATTTACATCAGTTGTCTGATAAATGTACATTCTTTTTAATATGATTGAATCATGGACTCAATGACATAAACGAACAACTTACTAATGGCCTCATTTCTAAGCTCCTCAGTTATTGGTACAGGATGTGGAGCATCATGAGACAAGTATTTGGAATATATGCAGACTGCATCTTTTTCTATACCTTCAAATAATAACAAAAAAAAAACTTTACAATAAGAATGTGTCATTTTCTTTTTTCATTTTCTATTGGTACAGGATGTGGAGCATCATGAGACAAGTATTTGGAATACATGCAGAATGCAATTTTTTGTATACCTTAAAGCTTAAAAAAACTTTACAATAGGAATGACTCATTTTCTTTTTTTTCTTTCTTTTTCATTGAAAACAATGGATATCAAATTATCAATTACACAGATTCGGTTAAGGAATATAGACACTCACTTTTCCTGAGTTTGTCTCCCAGATTATCCTTCGAAGTTATCCTTCCTGGACTAGGTTTCTGCTGAATATGTTCCCCCTGAGCACCATGACCAAGTCTATCTTTTGCATCTTTGCAGTCTTTGTTTTCATCACTGTTAGAATTATGTCCTGTTACAGTATCACTTACTGTTTGCACATCATTTCCGGATTTGGCATAATCCGTATCCGACTTTTGCCTTTCACTGTTAGCACAATCAGTGTCCTGTGCTTTGTGCTGTGGTTTCTTATTGCTATCATCCTCTGATTGCACATGTTCACCAGAACCAGCTGGTGGTTGTTTGGACCGTTCCAGTGTGGAATTCTTTCTCAGTGTCTGCAAAGAGTGAGTTCTAATTCGGCTATATGAAGATGCCTGGAAACTCTCAGCATCTAACCAAAATTTGATGAGATGAACTGCATGTTTTGAATCCATGAACTGAATGAAGTAAGCCAAGGCATCTTTGTCATGTAGCACCTCATGAATGGTCTTCGACAGACGGGAAGAAGTGACTATAGGATCTGTATTTTGAGAGCTAAACCCTGCAATAAAGCAAACACACCATAATTAGTATGTTTTAGCCTTCATATAACATTATTTGCATGAGAATATATCAAATATCTCTAAAAGCTGTAAGAGTTAAATATATATAATCTGTCCTACATTTACAGACTGAATTATTTCACAATGAAAATTTCTCCAGAAATATTGATTACAAACACAGTCAAAAGCATTTCAAGCAAATTTTTGCAGGATTATATTAAACAGAAAAAATTCAACTAAAAAATCAAATATATGGGAAAATGCACATAAAGACTTATCGAAACTCTTTAACCTCTACATAAACTGACCTAGATCTCCCCCTGTGTTATCTATGTGGCTGGCAGACCTAAGTAACATAGGCTTTGGCACAGAACCACTAGGTTCTTTAAGAGGGTTATCAGGAATTCCTTCAAATAAAATCATGTTAGTAGTATAACGTAAGTGTGAGAATCATTTAAAGAACGAATTATGAACTTATTTATTAGTAAATTTTATATAAAAGCTGCTGTAGAGTACAACTAAGTCTGTCTTGGAACTTCAGCCATACAGAAAAAAAAAAAGCTACCAAATCATGAAAAACAAATGAAAAATAGCCATTACAAATTTACAAACTTAATGCATCTTGCATATTTCTCTAATTTAAAGTTATGGTTTCCATGCAATTGACAATATTATCCTTTTGGTAAATCATGACATGAGTGACCCATGCATTGAAAAAACAATTTTAACAACCTAACAAAATTGCATTATAGTTATTTATTATGGTTAAATCTTAACAAAAATACATAAGAACAAAAAACATAGCACATAGTTAAGAGATTAATAGGTACTATTTCTATATTTGCTGTATACCTATGTCTCCATTTGGTGATGTTGGACTACGCTGTAGCTGGTAAGCTTTAGATGCCGTACCAGTTATCTCTTTAGCACCCTGTACAGGAGATGGTTTGTTTGGCATTTTAGCTGTAGTAGCTTTATCTCCCTTGGATTTAGCTAGAATGAAAAAACAGGAAGCGATTATGTGACAGTGAGCCAGACATAAACAGTAGCAAGGCTTTATGTATGTATATGTATGTATGTATGTTGTATCCTTGAAACTCTGACAGTTGACTGATAATGTATGTGATAACAGTCAGAGTTCATAACTAAGGGTCTAGAAATTTATCAGTGGACTGGTATTTGATTGCATGATTATATGGGAAAATACATATCAGTGAAAAGTATAGCATTTGTGTACATAAAATTAATGAGCAAAGACTTATAAAGCCGCAGTAGTTGTTCAAAAGGGAACCTACATACGTTTTGGTATTGACAATGTAATTTTTTCGGTCACATCCCCTTAGGTCCCTGCACTTTTGCTCACATGCACAGTACTCCCCCACCCCAATTATAGCAAGATATGCAACATACTTACTCAATGTTAATTCTAAAACCTTTTCTTTAAATACTTGGAGCCAAAAGTGAAAAAAAAATTTGAATCATCATTCTAAACCAATCAATGGAAGTAGCAATGTAGGTACTATCATAATTTCTTTTGCTTGAGAGAGTGACGTTACAAGAAAGCTATGATGTGGTGGAGTAATATAAAGCAATAGCAGCATATAATCCAGTTAAAATTATACCATTTGGTTTATGTCCACTCACTGCATAAACGAGTATGAGATAACATATATTCTTCAATAAATTCAAAGGCAAAATTAGTTTCCTCATTGTACATAACCAACAGTAGCAGCTTTTAATGGGTTAAAACAAAGAGCTATGACTGCATTTGATTAGTGAAAATAAATCTACATCTGTGGCAATAACGAATATCGGAGGTTCAATCTAAATCGTTATACTAAAATACCAAAGTCAAACACATGTTGTGATTTTAAATTAAACTTGAATTCAACTTGACAAACAATCTCACTTGATTTCCGTCCAAATAAAGGCATAGTTTCTGCGCCTTTTGTGATATCTTGTTATCTCCACTGTAGTTGCTCTAGCAAGAGCTTTTTGCAAAATACTATAACCGCATCTCACTGGTGTTAAAAACTATGTAAACGAACACATTTTTTTCAGACTGTCTGCAGCAAGCGTACGGAGGTCGCCATGTTGTTTCCGCCAGGTGCAGCAAATGCAATGTCCCCATTGGAAATTGAACTAGCAAGTTCAACTAACACAATGGGTGCTGAGACACGAACTTAATTCCATGATATGCAGGCAAAATTAAATCAATGTTTTTGTTTCTGTAGTATTCCACGAACAATTTGAAGTACGTATCTATGGGAATAGTGTCAGACGTTTAATCAAATTAACTGCGATCAATGATAATTCAATGACACTGCATCTAACATTTTCATTTTATTGACTGTGGAACTTATAGTAGACCTAATAGTACATGTATATATCCAGTTCTATTCACAGTAGTTTGGAGTCAGGTGCTGAATCATGTGTTCACAACATGATGGTAGAAGACACTGAGGTTATTTACAAAAAAAAAAAAAAAAAAAAAAAAT